ATCCCTAGAGAAGGACATCATGCTTGGTAAAGTATAGGGTCTGTGAAAGAGAGGAAGACCCTCAATGAGATGGATTGACACAGTGGCTGCAACAGTGGGCTGAAGCATAACAACAATTATGAGAATGACACAGGACCAGGCAGTGTTTCATTCTGTTGTACATAGGGTGGCTATGAGTTGGAACCGAGTCAATGGCACCTAACAACAACAGATATACATATATATTTTACTTTTTATTTTGAAAAAATTATAAGCTCACAAGAAGTTCCAAAAATAGTACTGAGAGGTCCTGTGTACCCATCACCCAGCCTCCCCCAAAGGTAACATTTTACAGAAGTTACATATCTATAGCACATTCTCAGGACCAGGAAATTGCCATTGGCACGATAAAATGGACTCGCCTACAGACCCTATGCAGATTCCACCAGGTTTTATACTCACTCATTCTTTTTTCTTAAAAGATTTTAATGTGTTCTACTTGTCTTGTCTCCCTTAAATACCGTGATGATTTTGAGGAAAAACATTTTTATCTTCATTAGCTTAGTGAACAATGAATTTTAGAGATGGGAATGTGTTGGTTTATCTCTAGCCTAGGCTCTTTGTTTTATACATAATTAATCAGAATTCAGAGAAGGGATGCTTGCCAGGTCTCTTTGGAGTCCTCATGCCTGACTCAGTGCAAGACGGTCAGTTATCCGGGAATTACTATCTTCTTCTCTGCTAATATTTTTCTTAAGCATAGTACAACTCTGGTGAGGAGACAGCCTATGAAAACTAATTTCTTTTTGAAAATGAATAAACATCTCAATTTCCTCAAGCACAACTGAATTAAGAAACATTACTTTACAGAGCATGGAATTAATCAGTCCAGTCTGACTTAGAAAGAGCTCCTGGTGGTTTACATTTTAACCACTGTGCTAACTGAGCAGTCCTGCCATCTCTTTACCAGAGGTGAGGGCTGATAAGCCTCTCGCTACCTGGCGCCAGAGACAGATGACCAAAAACCAACAATCTGGCGGAAAGGTCACAAAAAGAAACAGAAGGCATGTCCCGGTTAATGAGAACATGCTTCCCTGGTATACGCCCTAAAACATGGACACAGTAAAAGCAACCTGCAAATTGACATCAAGAGCAAAGGCAAACTTGCTAAGAACTCTTGCAACAACCAAGGGATACTTTGAGTCCTTAATAGATTAATTCAGGGTTTTTTTTTTTTTTTTTTTCTTTGTTTTTGTTGTTGCTGTTTTTACCTTGAAATGGCAAGGTCTTCCTGGGGAACATTCCAAGAGGTTTGTGGCAAAGGAGCCAGCTGTTTTAGAATGTGAGTTCCCAGAGAGCAGAGCCTGGGGCTGAGGAAGGTGGAGGCGGGGTAGGAAGGTGCCGCAGGGCAAATGTCTGAGGCCAGTGCTGCAAGGTCCACACGCTCTGTGAAACCCTGTCACCTGGGAGGTTGTGACCACGCAAAGGGGGTGCAGGTGACACTGAAGGGCGAAGTCTACCTCCCTTTCCCGGCGAGGCTGACCTTTCTCATGTCCTGTGAGGCACTTCCTTGCCGGGAATTGACCATTTTCATGTTGGCAGTGACAGGCTAATTATTTCCTTCCTAAGAGAACCTGAGCGGATCTTGGCTGCAGGCCCCCTGCTGGGCAAGTTCAGCAGATTAGACTGAACTTCATCTGATTTTAATGTCCTTGGACCTGCGTACAAGTGCTGCTGCAGAGTCTCCACAAATCTTAGGAGCAAAGGTTTCCCATAGCTCCTTTGGGGTGGGGGCTGGGAGAGGGTAGACACTGGGCTTTATACTTTTCATATAACCCTAAAGAACCTAGGAGTCCTGGAGGTGCAACGGTTAAGTACTCAGCTGCTCGCCGCAAGTTCGGTGTTTGACCCACCAGCGGCTCCTCGGGAGAAAGGCCTGACGATCTGCTCCCGGAAAGATTGAACCAAAACCGAGCTCACTGCTGTTGAGATGATCTTCTTGCTTCCACAGAGCAGCTGGTGGGTTCGAACCACTGACCTTTCGGTTAGCAGCCGAGTGCTTAACCACTGTGCCACCTGGGCTCCTTAGGTAAAGATTACAGCCTATAAAACCCTATGAGGGCAGTTCTACTTTGTCACATGGGGTCGCCATGAGTCGGAATCAACTTCACAGCACACGACAGCAACAACAGAATCTAGCAATACCGTACACAGGAGGTGGCAACTACTTAATGAACTGAACGGAATAAGAATCCACATTTCAGAGTTTATTCAGTGTTGCAGTAAATGTACAGAAACGGTCTCTCTTTCTGTATCTCTTTTCACAGTTTCTGCCATTCTTTCAAGGAGAAGATAGCACGTTTTGAATCAGTTGCCTGTAGAGCCAGGGGCAAGACAACTGTCCAACCTCGCGCCAGCAAGCCAGTGTGGGATTCCTATGTCCACTCAGGAGGGTCCATTGCTTTCCACCCACCCTGTCCCTCTGTTGTAACTGGGGGGTAGGGCTGGGCCATGATGGAGGTCTCTGTGCACCCATCCCAGTCTACGCCTGAGCAATACACTCCCCTTTGCTCTTCTCTTTGCTCGCTGCAGAACGCGGTGGCACAGTGGCAAACATCCGCTCAACATTCTTCTGTGCTCTCATGATGCTGCTGTATTATGAAGGTGGTGAAGACTGTATAGAAGGGCAACCTGATTTACAAAATAGCATTTGCGGAATCAAATACGTTCTACAACTATCTGGGGGAAGGGGACAAAAGGTATACCACCACCACCCAAATAAAAAACAACAGGAAAAGGAAAATTATGTAGGCATAGAATTTCTGATAACCTCACTCCTGAGGTGCCTTGTCCACGAGGCAGTGCTAAAACAATACTTGAAAGGAAATACAAGCACACTGAAAACACTTTATAATATTATTTTATAGTATTAGTTCTTATCCCAAAGTACTTTACTCTCTCAAACTCACCACCATAGGCCCCCTGAAAAGCATGTCAGATATATCAAGGAAAAAAGTCTGCCCAGCGCTGGTTTCTCAGTGTGCCTCCACCTGCGGTCCGCATCAGTAAACTGGCCACCAAGTGGGAGGAAGAGGGTGGAGGGAGACAGGACAGCCTGGGAGAGAAGCAAGCCAGGCTGAAGCAGAAAATCAGGAAGTGAGGCTGAGCCATCTCTGCTTTCACAAGGGGGCATACTCTTGTTCTCAAGGATGTTGTGTTCTGGCGAAGTCTGCCCAGTCCCTCCACCCCGGGGAATCCTGCAGGACGTCCATCAAGATGAATTCCACCCACCCCTTCCCCCACACACAATGAGCCCTGGAGGTGCAACAGTTAAGCACTCAGCTGCTTAACGAAAGGTCTGTGGTTCAAACCCAACCAGCCGTTCCCCAGGAGAAAGACCTGGTGATCTGCTCCTGTAAAGACTGCAGCCTTGGAAACCCTAGGGGGCAGTTCTACTCTGTCACATGGGGTTGCTATGAGTCGGAATTGACTCGACAGCACACAACAGCACACTTTGCTAGTTAATAAAGAGGAAAGATTTCCTGGCCTAGGGAGAAGAGTCTATGCTATCTTGTCCTGATTTCACATTTAAAAGAAAGAGGTTACTTTCACCAGTCCCGACTATTTCTGAACACTGAACTAGGGATTTTAAAGCACGTACTCCCTGGTTGTTCTGGCCTTAAGCCAGGGGAAACTACACAATCAGCTATTAAAACCCAGACAGACTCTTCAAACTTTGGATTTTACCACTCTTTATTTTATAGAATGAGAATATAATACATTGCAAATTCATTTGGCAGAATAGATATTTTTATAAAATAATTTATAATTTTGGCCAACATGTGAACCCACTGGGAATAAAGAAATTTTGATAATAATAAACTATTTTACTTATGCAGTAACTTCCACAATGTTGGGTAGGATATTGGAGTCCCTGGGTGGTGCAGTTAGCACATTCAGCTGCTGACCGAAAGGTAGGAGGTTCGAGTCCACCTCCACCTTCACCTAGAAGCACCTCAGAAGAAAAGTATGACACTACTTCCGAACAAATGAGCCAGCGAAAACTCTATGGAGCTCAGTTCTACTCGGACACACGCAGGGTCGCCATGAATCAGAACTGACTTGATGGAAACTGGTTTGTTTTTGTTTAGCTTAATTGAGTTTATAATCCAAGGCCTAAACAGTTTGTGTCTATTCAACTTCATCCTTTGCTAGCTGTTTAACCTTGGGAAAGTCAAACTCTAACCTTACAACGCGGATGATAAGATTGCCTCCGTCAGCACTGGTGCTGAGGGTTGAAGGAGACAATGTACGTGCGCCACCGAGCAAAGTGTTCGGCACAAGGAAACGTCTCAGCAAATGTTAGCTATTATAAGTATTATTATTTTTTTAATTGTTGTACTTTCAGTGAAAGTGTACAATTCAAGTTAGTCTCTCATACACAAATTTGTATGTACATGGTTATGTGACCCTAGTTGCTCTCCCTGTACTGTAACAGCACACTCCTCCTTTCCACCCGATTCCCCGTGTCCATTCAACCAGCTCCTGACCCTCTCTGTCTTCTCATCTCACCTCCAGACAGGAGCTGCCCATTTAGTCTCATGTATCTACTTGAGCTAAGAAGCACACTCTTCACGAGTATCATTTCATGTCCCACAGTCCAGTCCAATCTTTGTCTAAAGAGTTGGCCTTGGGAATGGTTTTAGTTCTGGGTTGACAGAGTGTCCGGGGGCCTTGCTGTCTGGGGTTCCTCCAGTCTCACTCAGACCATTAAGCCTGGTCTTTTCACTAGAACTTGAGTTCTGCACCCCACTTTTCTCCTGCTCCATCAGGGACTCACTGTTGTGTTCCCTGTATTGTGACTATCATTTGATCCCAAAGAAAGGGAATGAAAGTAGAGAGGAAAGAGAAAGAACTGGGCGCAAGAGGAGGACTAGAGAAAGGAAGGGGGTGTGGGTGGCTGAGTCGGGGAGAACTGCTTTCACCACTTCCCAGCATCTATTGCAGGTTTTGCTCTCAAACATTTTGTAAGATCCCTAATTCAAGGTACTGTTTGGACCTTTCGGAGTGCAGCGGCAGGGCTTCCAAGGGAATCATTAACTTCACTGGACTATCTTGTTTGTGGCTGTATTGACTCTTTGGGAGTCAGTAACATTTTGCGATTGGGACACACTGTTTCCCGGACCCTGCTGGCCAGCCCCAAAATGGAACACACAAAAATGGTCCTTCTATTTCTTTTATTTCTGCCATCAGGTAAGATGAAAAATGTCTTTTATTTTAATCATTACTTCCCCCCTTGCAAAGTATGACCGTGCTGTGTACTACTGTTTTATACCATGGCTTTTGGTCTACTTGGTTTAATTTAGCTCTTGATAAACGAGCGTCTCAGTTCAAAATCTAGTAGGAGATTGAGGAATTCTTCAGGAAATAAGTGTAATCTCACTGTGAACACTGTCAGGGTGTTAAAAACAAATGGGTGGAGACCATAAGGAGAGACTTATCAAATCTAAAAGATTGGGCCCAAATGACAGTTATTTTAGTTGGAAAAAAAGACCATCTAGCTAACAAACCAAAAGGCCGTTAGTCTCTTTGCCTGGTTCTCAGTTTGATTAAGTCAGAACACTTTTGTGAAGGTATTATGTTCCCCTCACTTCAAAATTTTAAAACAATGAATTATCTCTGAGTATATTTGACTAGTCCGTGTAGCTGGGCTCCTCATCTCCCTGTTTGCTCTGGTTTGAGTAAGACTTTCCATACTTATATGTCTGCTCCTGGTGCCTGGAGAAATCCCAGCGTCAACCTGCCAAATGATGTATGTGTATATTAATTCAACAAATATTCATTTAGTGCTTGGGGTAGGCCACTTTTCATATACAAATACACACACACACATATATATATACGCCTCCTTTATTCATACTTGCTTTTTATCACCTGGAGAGAGAAATTCAGTATATTCATCCCCATTGTGAAGGTGAGGGAATCCAGACTTGGAGAAGTCATGTTCTTTGCCCACTGACCAAACTACCAAATCCAGGAACTGAAGGAATCAGGATTTAAATCAGGGCTTTCCAAGAATGAATCTAGTGTTCTTGCTGTTTCAACTTTGTTTAAACCTTCTTTAAAATATTCTAAACATGCCCTAGTGGCTCTGTTTTTCTTTTTAAATAGCTTTATTGAGCTATAACTCACATAGCAGACAATTGGCCCATTTAAAGTATATAATTCAGCGGCTTTCAGTACATTCAGAGTTGTACACCCATTGCCACAATCAATCTGAGGACATTTTGTTACCCAGAAAGAAACCTCTTAGCCATCACCCCTCCCAACAACCCCCACTGTTGCAACTCCTCCCGGCCCCCCAACATGAATCTGATTTTTGTCTTTATAGATTTGCCTATTTTGGGCATTTCATACAAATGGAATTGTACAATATGCTAGTGTTCTTCATATAAACAGTGCACAGATACTTGAAATTTGCTTTATAAATTACCAGATAAAACTTTTCAAGTTCAAAACTTTTCATTTTAAATTAGAATCAAATACATTTGGGTTTAATGGGAAGAAGTCCAAGAAACATCAAAGAAACTATAGAGCAGGGGAAGAGTAAACAGAGAATTTTGTGAACAGTGGTTGTGTGTGTGTGTATGTGTGTGTGTCTGTGGAGGGAGGGTATGTATATTCTATTTCCACCCGTGGAAAGTAGGAGCTGGAACAAGATGAACTTATTCAGTGGGTTACACCCAAGTGTTAGAACAAGCTTCTCTGCACCAGAATTAGCATATGTTTTAACCAACCTAGGAAAAACCCTGTCTTTCATAGACTCTTTTTGAAAGGAAAGCATTTACCCTTACTTTCCATGGAAGTAACTTTCATCTTTCCAGTGTGCTGAAATACCCAGAGAGAGAACCAATTTTTTTACAGCTATACTCAGTGAGAGTTGGATATACCTTTTGCATTTCATGAACCACTAAGTCTTTTCTTTCAAACACACAAGCATGCATGCACATAGACACCAGAGTGATTTTTAAAATATCCCCATTATTGACAGTGTTGACATGTCGTGAGGTTGTTAACCATTGTCATAGGGCAATACGTGTACTAACTGTTTCAAGAGAAACTATTTGTTCTGTAAACCTTCATCTAAGGTACAAAGAAAAAAAGAATTATCTATGTGAGAGCAAATTGACAACAGCAACTCAAAAGGTTTGATGGGAAGCCTACGGGACAGTGAGTTGAAGATAATGGTGATGGAATAATTCAGAAAAGGAGAGTGAGAATCACAGCACAACTGGAAGAACGTAATCGATGTTACTGAATTGTACATGTAGAAACTTTTGAAATGGTGTAACTTTGGCCATGAATATTGTCACAAAAAAAAAAAAAGGTCCTCTGTCTGAGAAGGGCGAGTGTTGATGTGTCATGGGGTTGTTAAACAATGTTATAAAACAGAATGTGTACTGACTGTTTAATGAGAAACTATTTGTTCTGTAAATCTTCATCTAAAGTACAGTAAAAAAAATTTAAAAAATCCCCATTATTAATAAAATACTCCTGCTTTAGCAGCAATATACACCTGTATTTGGCCTCTAATATAAAAATACTTTTCTACCAAAAAAGTGTTAGTGTTTCTTCATCAGCAAAGAAACCATATTATATCCCATTGCCATACGAACTGCAGTGGAATAAGAAAAAACAAAAAAGAAAAAATAGATTCTCTTCTGGGATATTTCTTTGGAATGTCAGCCCCTAAGGTGGATTCAGCTAGCTTACATGCTGTAATTTGCTATGTATTTAGACGAAACATAATTAAAGGATGATAGAAACAAGAATTCTCTTTCTGAATACCACTTATAGCCTAACCTGCTACACTTCCCAGAACTCTTCAAGAAGTTTACTTTAACTCTGTATAAAATACATTTTGTAGGTTTACCGCATGTTTGTTTTTGAAATCACCCCCTGATCTATAGAATTTACCAAGGCACAACTCTTCTTGGGATTGAGGGTTCAAATGGGAAGAAAATGCTGAGCAGATTTCAATACGGGTCTAAGATATGTATTTTTCCATAATCTTTTGATACATTTATCAAGTGCTTTTTGGTGTATTAAGGTTTAAACTGCGTCAATCAACTTCCTGTTCCATAATCCATTCGTCCCACTGTGGAGTCTCTTAACTTGTGGAAGGATGCAGTAGCAGGTGTAGGGACCGGGCGAGCTTTGCCTTCATCTATTAGGGTGCATCTCCCCCTGTTCAGCATGCATATTTTCAGGGTGGGCAGGCAAGGCCTTTCTGAGAATGAAGATCTGGCTTTTAAGGGTCCTTTCTGCTGGAAAATTTTCTTCAGCATACAAATATGCTCTAGGAGGTCTCGTCTTTAAAACAAATTCAGTGACTGCACATTCCCTCCAGTAACGGCTCCTTTCAAGCAGACTTTTGAAAGCTTTGTGTCTTAGTTATCTAGTGCCGCTACAACAGAAATACCACAGTTGGATGGCTTTAACAGAGAAATTTATTGTCTCACAGTCTCAGAGGCTAGAAGCCTGAATTCAGGATGCCAGCTCCAGGGGAAGACTTTCTCTCTCGGCTCTGGGGGAAGGTCCTTGTCATCAATCTTCCCTCAGGTCTAGGAGCTTCTAGCGCAGGTACTCCAGGTCCAAAGGACATACTCCACTCCTGGCTCTTCTTTCTTGGTGGTATGAGGTCCCTCTCCTCTTTGCTCCCTTCTCTCTTTTATGTCTCAAAAGAGACTGACTCAAGACACAACCTAATCCTGTAAATTGAGTCCTTCCTCATTAACATAACTGCCTCTAATGCCTCATTAATGTTATAGAGGTTAGGAGTTACAAAACATAGGATAACTACATCAGATCACAAAATGGTGGACAGCCACACAATACTAGCAATCATGGCCTAGCTAAGTTGACACACTTTTGGGGGACATAATTTAGTCCATAACACTTTGTCTTCTCATGTGTTCCCACTGTCATCTTCTTAGCCACTCTTTAACTCATCCACCCTGGATTTGGTCCTCCCCTCTCCCCTCTATGTGGTCGAGGCTGCCATGATGCCTGATCCAGTGAAAACTTTGCTATCTTCATCTTAACTCTCACTCCTGTAAAAGTCGTCTGCATTCCATACCCAAAGGATGGAGCTGGCACCTCCAGACTTGAATTAGGGGTGTCAAAGTCAGGTCAGGCGTTATGTGGAGACCCAGAAAAAGGGATATTCTTTGCAGTCTTGTCTGTGGAAACACGGCCAGGGCCCTGTTGGCCACTGTCTGAGTAACAAGGGAGGAAGCAGCTGTCAGACAGATTCTTGGCCTCTAATTTTATTTCACAGAAAAATCATGGTCAGTGTTTGTCCTGGACTCTGTTTTTCCATAATATCCCCCCTAAATGCCATCATTGTGGCAAAAATTATCTGCAATGTATTGTAATGTGTCACTGTACCCAGTATAAAAATGACCTTGTATTGTAGATGAGATTCTTACCCTCCAAGAATTTTTGCCCAAGTTGAACCACAATTTAGTTCCTCCACTCGCCGTTGAGTCAACTCTGACTCGTGGTGGCCCATGTGTGTCAGAGTAGAACTGTGCTCCACAGTGTTTTCAGTGGCTGATTTTCAGAAGTAGATCACCAGAACTTTCTTCTGAGGTGCCTCTGGGTGGAAATGAACCTCTAACCTTTTGGTTAGCAGCCCAGTTCGTGAGCCATTTGCACCACGAGGGACTCCACAATTTAGTTCAGTTTTTATTTATTCTTAATAACACCATCAATTTGCTAAAATGTTTGCACCTCAAGGCAGAACTATCCTCACTGTCAGTGAAAAAAAAAACAGGGTCACAGCCAAAGAGTAAAACCAAAGACCCGTTGTCGTCAAGTCAATTCTGACTCATAGTGACCCTATAGTATGCAGCTGGAAATCAAACAGTGGCCTCCAAGTTCCATTTATGCCCAAGGATTGACAAGGTAACACTAAACTGGTTAACAGCAGGGCCCACTTTACCCTCTGTCTCCACTGAAGATCACGTCATGTTCTATCATGGCAAGGTAACTGGGGGCAAAAGGACAACAGAACTTAGTCTTCTTGACAGTTTCTTCTCCGTTAATACAGAAGTTGTTAAGTAGCTCTAATTTATTAATCTAGTAAATCTACTAATATAATGCGATCTATTAGTAGAAGTTTTCCTGACTGAACATTTTGATTCATGGCCACCCATTCTCCTAAAAAAGCAGCAAGTTTATTTGCACGGATATAAAGCTAGCAATGGCATTGATTGATCAGCTGTCCCACTTTGATTCTCCCTTTCTAGGTGAAGGAGACTCCCTGGATAACTATGTAAGTACTGAAGGGGCCTGGCTCTTCAGCGTCATGCATAAGCAGCTGGAAACTGGAAGCACAGGCGAATGTGCCACAAAATGCGAGGAGGAAACCGAGTTCATTTGCAGGTATTTTCATCATCATTGCAGCCACACAGAAATCGTGCTGTTTGAGACACTATTATTCTGATGACAAGACATTTACTCATGAATTTATTAACAGAAACAGGACTTAGGAGGAAAGAGGAAACTTCGTGGAATCAGAATTTGAAATCTATGTTTGCTCCCTGAATCTGAAAGCAGACAAGCAGTTTCTTGCTAAGTTTTGTAAGCATCCTCTTTAGGAACATACTTGAAAAAAGAAAGCTATTTATTTTTATACATGACATAAACATTAGCAGCTACTGTTCTGAGCTCTACTTTTTAATATCACCATTAATAAATATTTAATGAGGATCATGGGGATGGAAGTGTGTCCTCGGCCCTAAGGAGTAAGGAAGTATAGACACAAGATTCAGTCCCTGCCCTTTTATATTTATGATGCAGTCAACGAAAACAGATACAATGTAAAAATTTAAATATATATATATATATATACACACACACATACATACATATACATAAATACATACATGGGAGCCCTGGTTGCATAGTGGTTAAGAGCTCAGGCTCCTAACCAAAAAGATTGGCAGTTCAAATCCACCAGCCACTCCTTGGAAACCCTATGGAGCAGCTCTACTCTATCCTATAGGGCCTCTATGAGTCAGAATCGACTCTACGGCAATGAGTTTGGATATATATATGGCAGCTAATGCGAAGTACTGATAAGCATTCCTAAGGGTTGGACCGCTAGAAAAGACCTTCTGGAGAAGGCGGGAATTGAGCTGGGCTTTGAAGGGTGGCTAAGATCTTGATGAGCCCCAACAAGGCGTGGAGGCATGGCCGTGCACTCTGTGATAGGGACAACGAATAGACTGATCTGGGTACCGCGAAGGACTCACATAGGGTCCTAGTGGGGGGAGTAGGCTGGAACGGTAGACTGTGGTTGACTTTGAAGGCCAGACGGAGCATCCATGATAGAGCATGCTGATGGGGTAAGGAGTTGGATGGGGGTAGGGAGAATGTAAAGATGGAGTCCCCAAGTCACGTAGACCATCTTAGGAATGGTCATTCTAAGCAATTAGAGTTGCCTCTTTCCAACACAAAAGCAAATATTCTGGCTTTTAATACAATTTAAAATCTGAGTGAAGAAAGAATAAAACAGTGGATACAGAAAGAAAGAGAAGATTCGGAGTGGGAGACGCTATGTGAAAACAGAGAGTCGCTACCACGTTGACGAGTTCATTTTCGGCACTCTATTAATACTATGCCAAAATTATCCGAGCTCCCTGGCCCATCAAGAGATACAGTCGTCTTTAGCGTTGCTACTGAGTCAGGCTAATGCATAAATGTTTGCTTTCCTCAAATCAGGGGGAAAAGGTAGCATATGTCCTGATTTTTTTTTTCCCTGCAGATCATTCCAATATCACAGTAAAGAGCAACAATGTGTGATAATGGCTGAGAACAGCAAGTCTTCCACCATCACGAGGAGGAGAAATGTTGTTTTATTTGAAAAGAAAAGTGCGTACAATGTTTTCTCTTCTTCTTCCTCCTTCTCTCCTTCCTTTCTTCCCCTTCTCCTTCTCCTTCCCTCCCCTACACTCTCCCTCCTTCTTCTCTTTTATCTCTTTTATTTATGACGCCAGAGAAGGAAGGCATGATGGTATGGTGACACTGAGCTCTTAGTCAGGACAGGGCATGCCCACTAGCCAGCCATGGCAACTAGACCATGTCACTTCACCGCTGTGTTTCATGTGTTCTGATTTGATTGACTTCTACCTCTATGACCCTGAAAAGGAGACATTCAAATTTTTATTTTATTATTTTAGGGAGGGGGTGGGGAGTCTCAACGTTCCTTATGATCTTGGCCTCTTGTTCTGAAGGGGAGATGTGGCTCTTGGCCACAGTAACATTTGGATAGAGACAAGATCCTTATTTTTAATCTTTAATTTTCCACTTTTTTTGGTCGGGCTCTTTATTCCCTCAGATTCTGAAATGTGCAGGAGTCATATTTTCTCCTCCATATTGTTGTTGTTAGGTGCCGTCAAGTTAGTTCCGACTCATAGCGACCCTGTGATGTACAACAGAATGAAACATTACCCGGTCCTGTGCCACCCTCACAATTGTTGTTATGCTTGAGCCCATGGTTGCAGCCACTGTGCTAATCCACCTTGTTGAGGATCTTCCTCTTTTTCACTGACCCTCTACTTTACCAAGCATGATGTCCTTCTCCAGGGACTGATTCCTCCTGACAACATGTCCAAAATACATGAGTAGTCTCTCCATCCTTGCTTCTAAGGAGCATTCTGGTTGTACTTCTTCCAAGACAGATTTGTTCATTCTTTTGGCAGTCCACGGTAAATTCAATATTCTTCACCAACACCACAACTCAGAGGCATCAATTTTTCTTCGGTTCTCCTTATTCATCGTCCAGCTTTCACATGCAGATGAGGCAATTGAAATTCCATGGCTTGGATCAGGCGCACCTTAGTCTTCAAGGTGACGTCTTTGCTTTTTAACACTTTAAAGAGGTCTTTTGCAGCAGATTTGCCCAATGCAATGCATTGTTTGATTTCTTGACTGCTGCCTCCTTGGGTGTTGATTGTGGATCCAAGTTTCTCTTCCATAGTTTCCTCTAAAATGTCAGCTGGATAGTCCCATTGTTTAGGATGAGAGGTGGCCTAGATTCCTATGGAAATCACTTTTTTTTAACAAAAGCTCCATGAGGTTAACTACAGAGATTTGAATGAACATGACGATTGTGAGGAAGGCGCAGGACGAGACAGTGTTTCGTTATGTTGTACGTAGGGTCACTACGAGTGGGAACCGACTCAATGGCACCTAACAACGACAACGCGGCACTTTTAAAACTATCCCGTTACTTGCTAGGTATTAAAATCATTTATAATAACAAGTTAAAAACCAAAAAAAACCAAACCCGTTGCCCTCAAGTCAATTCCGATTCATAGCGACCTTGTAGGACAGAGTAGAACTGCCCCATAGGGTTTCCAGGGAGCAGCTAGTGGATTCATACTACTGATCTTTTGGTTAGCAGCTGAGCTTTTAACCACTGTGCCACCAATAACAAATTAGTAGTTCAAATATTCTGTAACCGAGGGTGTTAAAGGAGACCAAAGCAAAAAAACCCAAACCAGCTACTGTCAGTTCGATTTAGATTCTGGGCGCCCCGGTGTGTGCCGAGTAGAACTGTGCTCCATAGACTAGAACCATGCTTCCGTGACGTTTTGAATGCAGACTGTCAGGCCTTTCTTCTGAGGCGCCTCTGGCTGGGTTCAAACTGCCAGACTTTTGGGTAGTTGTCGAATGTGTAACTGTTGGTACTACCCAGCGACTCCAGCAGCATCCTATTTCCTGTATTCCATATATTCTTGACAATGCTTTGCAACGTTCTTTCTAATCTCACTGCAAAACCCCAAATAAGATGTTTAAAAGTATTTCTTTAGGTTAGGGTATTTCTGTGCATTGATTCTTCTTCTTAGGTTTAATTAGCCGTGTCCCTGCTACACTCCTTTGCTCACCCGTTTATCTCTAATTCCTGAGATTAAAGTACAGATTAAATTGAAAATTTATCTGTTCAAGTTAGTAGTTTTTCCCAGTAGTGATTAAAGGATGTGATAAATAGGATTCTCTACTATCCTCCAGATTAATCACATGTATTGGGTAGGATTCTCTTTAGGAAATGCAGACATTTAAATATGTCATTTGTAAATTGTTAACCAAAAGGACTAGTTTGAAGTTGCTTGTGTTCAAGGTAAAGGAAAGGATCAAAAGGTTATGTAAACTTGGATGGGTACAGACAAACACCAGAGGTAAAAAGTCAAAAGGTCAGTCAGCTGGGGTGTTTGTTTCTTTACTGTGGAATATCAACCCATTGCCAGATTCCCTGCCAAGGTTTTTCTGGGAAGCAATCGATGTCAGATCATGATGACATCTGCCACCTCCCTCCATACCCATTGCCGCCCTTCAGTCCAAGCCGCCCTTGGCTCCAGCCAGGGCCACTGCCATACTCAGCCCCCCTTCACCCTGAGCGGCCAGAGTGATAGCTTTAAAATGTAACTTCCCTGCTTAAAACCCTTGGGAGTGCACTTCGAATAAAATCCAAATGCTTACACCAAATACTATTGGTAATTAGCATTTGCATCATCTAACCCCTGGGGCCACTGTCTGCTTGACTTGGGAAGCTTCGCTCCCTGGGCGGTATCTCTGTTCCTCAGACTTGCCAAGACCGCACCCCTCCCTCCGCCTGGACCCTCTTTGCCTCTGCCCTGCCCACGGCCAGCTGCTGCTTCTCCTCTTTCCGGTCTCAGTGCAACATCGCCTCCTTTCGAAAGCCTTCCCCGATTCCTGGGTCTCCTTTTCACGAAGTACCTTGAGTTTGCACTTCTGATAAATGAACTATGTCTAATGTAACAGTGTCCCTAAATGAAGATACATGTGCAATCATTTTACATAATGTTGGCATAAAAGCCTTCGTTTGCTATAGGTGAATGAGAAGTGGAATCCCTAGCTCATGCAAACAGTTAATGCAATTGGCCGCTAACTGAAAGGTTGGAGGTTTAAGTCCACCCAGGGGCACCTTGGAAGAAAGGCCTGGTGATCTACTTCCAAAAAAATCAGTCATTGAAAATCCTATGAAGCATAGTTCTACTCTGACACACAGGTGCTCGCCATGAGTCGGAACTGACATGATGGCAACAGCTTTTTCTTTTCTTTTTTAAATTAATATTAGAAGTACTTTCTCCTGGTAATTATCAATTAATTTTAAAACTTGGTTAAAGAGGGATATCATAGAAGATGACGCACATACACCTTAAACATTTTATATTTTCACTGAAAACATAAGTTAATGCTAGCACTGTTCTGAAGGCAAGCAGAAGCTTTTATTTTTTTTTTTTAAATATGGGTCCACCAACAAGAGTTATCTGTCACATTTCTTGCATAAAATGTCCTCTAGTGCATTGCATACAATAATCAATTTCTTTCTCTCTGAAGTGGAACAAGCTCTAGAGACATTTATTTATCAGCCTGACAGGAGAATACCTTTGGAATTTTTATGATTTTCCCCCAAACTCATAGAGTTGACTTGCCCTCAGTGATTTGACAGCAATTTCTAAAATGACTCAACTCTTTCAAGTCCTTAAAAGCATCAACTTAGTCAAAAAACTAACAAGCAGAACAATCACTCTATTTCTTTTTACATTCATGTCTCAGTTCAGAACATTTTTAATGAAATATAACTGGATACGAAGTTTGACAATAAAAACGACGACTCTCGGTGAGCGTGTTGCCTGGCCGGTAGGAACCGACAGTGGGTAGATACACCAGAAGGTGGCCTTCCAGCCATGGCGCCCAGCTGAACCCTGTAGGTGCCAGAGAGTGTGTTTTAAAGCCACGACAGAGCCCATTGGCTAATCAGGGTCGATTCACTTCTACCGTGAACATTTAACACAAACCACTTTTTCATATTTGAAATTCTGGCAGCCTCAAAAAAACAGACACGGCCGGGCTCTCTCTCAGCCTCTACCCACCTTGCCTTCAAGCCCCATTCCCCTCATTGCATCTCACCGTCCTGCTTATTTTCTCTGTAACACGTATCGCCATGAAGGCATCTCCTTTCTTAATTTGTTTCCTTAGTTACTGTCGCGCCCACCCCGACTCCACATGGGCAGGAAGCGGGCCCTGTACTCCATGGTGTCCCCAGCACCAGGCATGTGCACAGAGGGGCCCAGCAAGTAGCTCTGGGATAAAGAAACCAAAGTGCCAGATAGCTTCGTTCACTGCACCTCTTACAAAGACATGCAAGACGGTCTTTTTAGATGGCAGGAAGATGGTGGATTCTGGTTGGTTTTTTCCTCCTGCAGTAGTGCAAGGTCTTTCTCCCAGGTGCCCTAGCAGCATGGCCTCCTCCTCAGACTGCTGACGGAGCATGTCAGCTCACACACGGGCTTCCCTTCAGTATATCTTTCAGAATGCAAGACTGGAAATGGAAAGTACTATAGGGGCATGATGGCCAGAACTCGAAATGGGGTTGTCTGCCAGAAGTGGAAGGATTTGTCTCCTCATGTACCCAGGTAAGACTTTCTCTTTCATCTCTGTGTTCCCCTATTGTGTTGAGAACAATTCCATGACCTCTCAGTCTGACCAGATATGCTATTGGAGGTACAAGAGAACTTTATGAATGTTTGTCTACGTTCCTGGTGCTGCTGTCACAAAGTACCACAGTGGGTGGCTTTAAAGAACAGAAACTTAGTATCCTACAGTTCTGGAGGCTGGAAGCCCCTATACAGGGCATCAGCAAGGCCATGCTCTCTCTGAAGGTTCTACGGGAAGGCCCTTCTGTCTCTTCCAGCTTCTGGTAGCCCCAGGCATTTCTTGGCTTATAGATGCATCTTCACATGCTGTCTGTCTGTCTTCTCTCTGTGTGATTCTGTCCCCTTGTCTGTTCTCCCCTTTTATAAAACACCACTCAGAAGCGACTGGGACCCAACCTCCTCTGGTATGACCTAATGAATAAACTGATCACATCTTCAAAGAAAGAACCTATTTCCAAATAAGGTCAAGTTCACAGATATTGGGGTCAGAACTTCAGCATACCCTTCTGGAGGACACAAGTCAATCCATAATAACGTTAATGTAGAAGAGTTCAATTATTTATAACACAAGCGCAGAAAACGGCTGCCTTCTATTTACTCTTGTGTATATAATTTTCTAGAAGATCTAGAACATAAAAGGTCACCTAGCAAAAAAGAAAAAGCAAACTATGAATTCTGGGTCAAGTCTGAGTAAAGATGAAAGATAATCAGGTTTAGAAGTGAGTCAGTCACACTCAAACATACCAAGTTGGAACTCTGATCACACAGTCACCTCAGCACTGAACCCACTGAAGCAGCAGAGTAAGTAAAATATAAATCAAGAACAGACTATCTCACAGCTTTTGTCACTTATTTTGGTGTCACCCTCTCTCCCAGTATGACATCAGGTGGCCTATACTCTCAGTAACAACACTTATTAAGTAGACATTTAGTGTTTGCCTCTCCTAAACAAGTTTCCTTCGTTGCATCCCTATGAGATGAGCAGATCCAATTCTCCCTATTAGATAAACCTGACGTGAGGTTTATAAAAAACAAAACAAGAAACCCATTGCTGCTGAGTGGATTCTGACTCAAAACGACCGTGTAGGACAGAGCAGAACTGCCCCATAGGGTTTCCAAGGAGCATCTGGTGGATTCGTACTGCAAACCCATTGGTTAGCAGCCTACCTCTTAACCACTATACCATGGGCTCCTGATAGACTCAAAGGTGCAATAATGAAACCAAACAGCCAAATTATAGATGTCAGGGGCTTCAGAGAAAATCCAGGCCCTCTTCACCATTACAGATGGGTAAACTGAGGTCCTGAGAGCAGGCCATTTACTAAGACCCAAAACAGGTTCGTGGAAGAACCAGAAAAAAAACCAAGTCTTGTGCCTTTTCTCTAGTTTGTCACCTCCACACAGCAACTCAACACTAGAACTGAAAACGAGATTAGCACCCCCCACCCTCGACCCCAGTTAACTCAGGCTGTGCATCCGAGAGACCACAGTGCGTGGAATCAGACGGCTCTGGCTCTCCGTTCTGGACCTGCTACAGATTCGTTGTTCACATGTAGGCAAGCTTTATTTTGTTTTACATGGCTGCACCTCAGTTGCCTCATCTGTGAAACAGGGATAATCGCAACTTCCTGAGAGGATTTTTATTAAGATTCAATGAGAGAACATACAGAAAGATTTTAATGTAATGCTCACCACACAGTTCACACAGACTAAAAATTGGTATTAAACCACTATTATTTTTACAGAGAGAAGGGTAATGGATAAAACTAGGTGTTCAGAATAAATAAAAATCTGGCAGGCTCTGGAGGCCTTTGTACTTCTACAGGGTGTGTATAAAAAGGCGTTGGCTGTACATCTAACTAAGCCTTGCCTGTCGATATAGCAATAATGGTAACATTAGCTACTGTACCCGAAATCGCCAATCTCTGAAATTCTGACACCACCCTGCAACAGCACAGCCAGAATGTGCCACCATGACAGAAACTGACATTTCGGATGGGAAATAGAGAGCATCTTATCCCGGCTCGCTGACAGACGCTCATTTTTAAAAAGCAGCCAGTCAAAGTGCCTGTCTTCCCCCCTCCACAGGTACTCACCTCATAGATTCCCTTCCGAGGGACTGGAGGAGAACTATTGCCGGAACCCGGACAACGACGAGAAGGGCCCATGGTGCTACACCACCAACCCAGAGGTCAGATACGACTACTGCGACATTCCTCAGTGTGAAGGTCAGGATGCCTCTATCAGCTGCTTTCCCAGCAGCACTTCATCTGTAAAAAGCTTGGTGTAAAGCCATTTCCCACACGAATATTTAATAATCAATTAGTGCAGAGTTTCACAAAATTGAGTAACTGGACGTACCTCTTGGAAAGAAAAAAATTACCTCAGACCTCCCCCAGAACTGCCTTATTTTTATTAAAATGTTGCAGATGTACAAATATAAAACTAGATAAAAACTTTAGAGATAAACTTCTTATTAACTGGTATGCAATCCGAAACCAAAAAGAAAATTTGCAATTAAATAATTAAAATTAAACTACAGAATCAACAAAATTCAAATAAACAATACTAATTTAATGTGGTCGATTTCATTGTTCTGTTGAACCTAAGCAATGAGCCCATTCTTAAGTCAGCAATCCATTATTTTAATGGGCTGACCAATTGAACACCGAACAATCAAGCCAAACTCGCTGCCATCATGTGGGTTCTGACTCATAGCAACCCTGTAGGACAGAGTACAACTGCCCCATAGCGTTTCCAAGGAGCGCCTGGTAGATTCGAACTGCTGACTTTTTGGTTAGCAGCCTGTCTCTTAACCACTGTGCCACCAGGGCTCTGATCAATTGCATAGTGCACCTCAAAGTTCAATGCTGAAAAATCAAATTATATTGAAAAAAATTTCTTCATTTCATTATTTACTGCTACATTTACAGCTGCAAGGGGGAATGAATGGGGGGGGGTGCAACATCTCTGCTTGCAAAGTGGAGGTGGTACTAGGTGACAACTCAGATCCCCCGCCACTTTTATGTATCTGAACCATGGGGGATCCTTTATCTGCAGGTCATTTAGCCCTTACTTGACATGAATGCATATTTTTTCTATCAGTTCTGCCTCTCTTTTCCTTATTAGCCCGTTAAAGTTAAAGTCATACATTATTCTGCCGCACTATGTTATTTCAATCACTGCTTGATATTCCAAAGCAAAGTTTCCATAAGAGAAAGACAACCAGCCAGTCATGAGTCTCAACAACATAAAAAGGGGAGCACCGTCACTCTAGGTGAATACTGTTCTCCAATGAGGTCATCAAGACACAGAAAAATGCCAGCTCTGAAATCTGAGGACAGTGCCGGCATATTTGGTGGTCACCCATGTGAAGACAATCATTTCACAGAAAATTTCAAAGCCTACTATTGAAATGAAGACACCAAATATTTATGCATTCTAAGAATCACAGACTTCTGAGAATATGCGCACACACACACCGCCCCCAGGCCTGGGGCTCCCAGTATTGTGGAATTTCTGAATTCAGTCATGACTATAATAATTGAGGGGATATTGACCAAAATATGGTAATTCTACCACTTGAAAGACAGATTGACATTTCGGGTTGTGGTGGAAGATTCTGAGTCTTTATTCCAGTGATGGTTGGAAATTGCCCATGAACAAGTGGCAACGGTATCTATTTCTAGTGCGATCTATTTTTTGTTATCTTTTTCCTTCACCCCTTTCAGTTTCTTTCTCCCTTCTCTCCCCCTCTGTCCAGATGAATGCATGTACTGTAGTGGAGAAAACTATCAGGGTAAAATTTCCAAGACCATGTCTGGACGTGACTGCCAGGCCTGGGGCTCTCAGAGCCCGCATGCTCACGGATACCTTCCTTCCAAGTAAGTCTCTGGGGGCACAGGGGGTGAGATGTTGAAGAGGCGGGAAGCTCTGTCAGGCACTGTTGTTGTGTACATATTCCAGTGTGACTCAGAAATGATCACACTTCTGAGCTTGGCATCCTCCCACCCGAAAGCAAGTAAAATATACGTTCTTGCTACTCAGAATGGGGCCTGTGGTCCATGCATCAGCAGCATCCATATCACTTCAGTCTGCTAGAAATGCAGAATCTCAGACCCACTGAGTCTGAATCTGCAGTTTAACAAGTTCCCCAGTGATGGGTGTATGTACATTAAAATCAGAGAAATCCAGATACATCACCTGTGTCTTTTCCAAATATTTCCGCCTTCTCTTTACTCCCTTCTCTTTATACCAGCGAGGCTCACGGCTTCTTCACCTATGATTTATGGGTGGCCTTCAGGGTTCTGTGAATCCCCTGACATTGATGTGTATTTATATCAGCGCGTTTTTCTGCAGTGAGGAAAAAGGAATTCACTTAAAAAGGACCGAGTTCCTGTCCTAGAAGGTAACGCTGCTTCCTTGAGTAAGGTGTTCTGAGTATCCCATTTCACATTCACTGCACTGGCCTCCCACTCTGCCGCTGCTTCCGGTCTTTCTGTTCCTTCTCTTGTGACTGAAGGACCATCAAGGCCTCGGAAGTGAGGCTAAGCCACAGCTTTCACTGTGGAAAGTAAATCTACCGGATTTTTGCAGCTCCCATCCTGAATAGCTAGCTCAACACAGAGAGGCTGTGATTTTCCTTCCCAAGAGAAATACAGTAAAGGCCTCAAGGCCCAAAACTGGGGAAATCCACTTCCAGGAAAATAGGAGAAGAGGATTTCTTCGGCCACTGTGGCCACTCTGTCCACCCTGGCTGAGCACGTGAGTCTCAGGGAGCGACGTGAGATCAGCCCAGAGGCCACAGGCATGGCTTGTCTAATGGCCTCAGCCACAGGGTCACTGTGGAGGAAGCTGAGGGGCCTCACCCCATACTCTAGGGACAGGCTCTCATGGAGCACAGCGCACCCCTCTCAGTTCCCATAGGCTCAAATGGGAGTAGAAGAGAACCTGGGAGACTAGAAAGGCCATTCCTAGAATATGCAGACGCCATCTTCTCAGCTGTAAGTGCACTGGATGAGTATCTTTCGTCAGTGAGGACTTTGTGTTTTAGAAATTGCTATTTTGCAGCTGAATAACTGGAGTTTGCTGACGTCAGTTTTCAAGATGGCCAAAAGGATGACATTCCGGAGCCTGCTCAGTGATTTGTGCACGTGTAAACTGTTACAAAAAGTCCCTGGCGTACTGAGCTAACCTTTCACTAGAAGGCTGTCTCTCCATCCAGGTGCCTGTCTGTGCTCGGCACACAGCAGGCGCTCAATGCTGCTGCAGTTGAGAAGATTCTCATCAGTGAATGCCAGCGTCAAGTGCTGTTCAATCCCTCTCGCCCATTCAGGTTTCCCAACAAGAACCTGAACAGGAACTACTGCCGTAACCCTGACGGGGAGCCCCGCCCGTGGTGCTTCACCATGGACCCCAACAGGCGCTGGGAGTTCTGCGACATCCCCCGCTGCAGTGAGTATGGCTCATCCCCAGAAGTCAGGGGTCTTGACCTCTCAGAATCGAGGAAAAAACATTAGTTCCTGGGTACTGTGCCTCAAAGGAGCCCTGGTGGTACACTGGTTAAGCGCTTGGGCTGCTAACCGAAAGGTCATAGTTGGAACCTACCAGCAGCTCCACTGGGGAGAAGACCTGGTGATCTGCTCCCCTAAAGATTACACCCTGGGAAACCCTATGAGGCAGTTCTACACTGTCCTATAGTGTTCCTATGAGTCGAAATCAACTTGATGGCACACAACAACACTGTGCCTCAAAGTCCTGTGGGATGTCATTGCTCTTTTATGCAAATGGTTAACGCATGTGGGCGCTAACTGAAAGGCTGAAGGTTGGAGCCCACCCAGAGGTGCCTCAGAAGAAAGGCCTGGCGATCTACTTCTGAAAAATCAATCCGTGAATACCCTATGGAGCACGTGCTGTTGCCATGAGTTGGAGTTGACTTGATGGCAACTGGCTTAATTGATAACTGTAGATAAGTGGATCAGAACATCCATTTATCATGCTTTTTCCTATCAGGGAGCCCCAGTGGTGCAGTGGCTAAGAGCTAAGGCAAGCTATGGCTGCTAACTAAAAGGATGGCAGTTCTAATCCACCAACCGCTCCTTGGAAACCCTATGGGGCAGTTCTACTCTGTCCTGTAGGGTCGCTATGAGTCAGAATCGACTCAACGGCAATGGGGTTTTCCTATCAGAGACTTCTGCCTCTCAGGAGTACAGCTAAATGTTGGCTCTTGGTTGGCATCGCTGGCATTCCGGTCCATGGATCCTGTTATCTACTTGAGTTCTTTCTAGCTGTTGCTTTATCAACGAAGAGGTGTCTCTGGCTGCCCTGTTCTTCCATATTTCTACCTTGTGGGGGAGTGGAGGGGAAAGGCGTCCAGGGGGAGAAGAAGAAATGGCAGACCTAGTAGGAACAACTTGGAAGGAACAATTTTATAATATTTTCCTTCTATGAGAATTTGAAGCAAGGGACTGAAAGTTTAGACAATCATCAGAGGTGAGAAGGACTCAGCCAGCCCTGGGGGCTGGCTTCCCTCCCTCTGCTCTGACGACCATGCCTTTGGGGAACAGCAGGTCCTCATGGATTCTCCTTCTGTAGGAATACCAGCTTCTCTTCTTGCCATTTTTTTTCTTTTCCCAATAATTTCCCAATTTCTGGATGCACACACCATTCCCTGGAGACATTGTCTGTTTTCTTTCCATAAACTCTCTGTTGTTTGGCTTTCTGGAACACTGGGTGTCATTCAGCTAATATTTACTCAGGGAATAATTCATTCTTCACAAAGGATGTGGATCATCCATCGGCATATGTAAGGGTTTGGGGCCAGGGGCTGACACATATTGATACCACCTGAGGAACTGAGGGAAGAGAATCAAGAAGGAAGCCTCTACTCCAAGGGCCCAGCCTCTGAAGGACTTCCTCATGAGACGCCCTCATAGACATAGATTCCACCCGATTTACTTCTTCTGAAACAGACCAACAATTTTCAAGTATCAAATTCCAAGACAGGATGGGTGGAAAAGGAGATAGGCTGGTGTCCCCTGCACCCTTCTCCCTATAAAGTCTGCCTGTGCATTCCTTACTTTAGAAAAATTCATTATAATTTATTTTCCCTATTCAAGCAATGCTTCCACCACCATCTGGTCCAACACATCAGTGTCTGATGGGAAAAGGTGAAACCTATCGAGGGAATGTGGCCATTACGGCATCCGGGCACACCTGTCAGCGCTGGAGTGAGCAGACCCCTCACAAGCACAACAGGACCCCGGAGAACTTTCCCTGCAAGTACGTCCCCTGCTGGTCTCACTCCCGGGCCTTAGTTCTAGTTATTACAGGAACTCAGGGTTAAAGTATTCTGGAGTGAAAAGCAATCGAGCCACATGCAAGGGAAGTGAAACTCAGCGCTGATTTTTCTTTTTCTTTTTTTATTGTACTTCAGGTGAAGGCTTACAGAACAAATAGTTTCTCATGAAACAGTAGTACACATATTGTTTTGTAACACTGGTTAACAACCCCACAACAAGCCAACCCTCTAACTTCTCAACATTTTTTTTTTTGGTGAAAATACAGATAGCCAAAGATACACCATTTCAAAAATTTCTACATGCACAGTTCGGTGACATTGACTACACTCTTCCAAATTGTGCTGCTATTCTCACTTAAGATGAAGGCTTACAGAACAAAATAGTTTCTCATTTAACAGTTAGTACACATGTTGCCCTATGACAATGGTTAACAATCTCCCAACACATCAACAATATCCTTACTCAACCTTGGATTCCCTATCACCAGCTTCCTTGTCCCCCTCTGCCTTCTGGCCCTTGTCACTGGACTACTGTACCTCCTTAGTAACACCGATTTTTCTTTAACACTGGTTCTCAAAGTGTGGTTCCTGAGACCAGCAGCACCAGCATCACTAGGAATTTGTTAGAAATGCAGATTCTTGGCCCTACTCCAGACCTACAAACCAGGTCCCACAAATCTGTCTTTTTTTTGTTGTTGTTGTTTCTTTTTTTTTTTTAATTACTGTACTTTTGATGAAGGTTTACAGAACCAGCTTCTCATTAAACAATTAGTACACATATTGTTTTATGACAATGGTTAACAACCCCATGACATGTCAACACTCTCCCTTCTTGACCTTGGGTTCCCCATTACCAGCCTTCCTGTCCCCTCCTGTCTTCTAGTTCTTGCCCCTGGGCTGGTGTGCCCATTTAGTCTCGTTTTGTTTTATGGGCCTGTCTAATCTTTGGCTGAAGGGTAGACCTCAGGAGTGACTTCATTACTGAGCTAAAAGGGTGTCCGGAGGCCATACTCTGTCAGGCCAGTAAGTCTGGTCTTTTTTCCACAAATCTGTTTGATGAGCCCTCCACTAAACGCACGTGAAAGTTTGATAATCACTGCTCTTTAACACCTAAAATCCATAGCTGGGGTCTATGCCTCCAGAAGGCAGGGACTGCGTATAAAATACCCATCGTATATTCAGCATATAGCACAATGCCCAACACACAGCAAAAGACCTACTTTGCTTGACTACACAAAGTCAAGGAATATATTTCAACCGTTCACCCAAGAGAAGCATCTGTGCCACAATTCTATGGAATCCTGCTCTGCTTAAGCTTCCCTCTGGCCTCCATTATTGAAGCTGCGTAACAATAGAGCATTACCTGAATACATATCCAGTATCACCATTAACAAGCATGCATGGGTCTTATCTATTTATGTAGCCTTTTTGGAAAGCCCAAGTCACAATCATTTCTTTTTCAGAAATCTGGATGAAAACTACTGTCGTAACCCTGATGGAGAAACTGCCCCTTGGTGCTACACAACCGACAGGGATGTGAGGTGGGAACACTGCAAGATACCATCCTGCGATTCATCTGCATCGTCCACTGAGGCAACATGTAAGAAAGGATAAAGAGAGCTTACTCAGGGCCCCAAAGGCCCTCTTTGCCTCCTCCAGTGGGGTCATCACTGTACACGATACCTTTGTTTATAGTTTGACTCTGTGGTGGTCAGAGAACATGCTCTGTGTGAGGTTTGTTTTGTGGTTCAAGAGTATGGTCTATCTTGGGGATGTTCCATGTGCTCTTGAAAGAAATGTGGGTCCTACTGATGTTGAGCGCCTGTTCTATGAGGTCAATTAGGTCAAGTTGTTGTTGGTGTTGTTTAGCTCTTCTGTCTTCTGACTGATCTTCTGTCTCCTTGTTCTGTTGATGAGAGATGAACGGTGACATCTCCAACTATTTCTCTTTTCAGTTCTTTTTGTTGTATATGTTTTGAAGCTCTGTTAGGTACACAAGCATTTAGGACTGGCATGTCTTCTTGATGAAATGACCACTTTATCATTATGTAATGTTGCTCATTATCTCTGGGACTATTCCTTGTTCTGAAGTCTACTTTAGCTGATATTAATATAGCCTCTTTTCATTAGTGTTTGTATGATTATGTTTTTTCTCAGCCTTTTAATTGAGGTATTTAGACCATCTGCATTTAATGTAACAATTAATATAGTTGGATTTAAATCTACCATCTGTTGTTGTTGTTAGGTGCTGTCAAGTCGGCTCCATTTATAGCGACCCTATACACAACAGAACGAAACACTGCCTGATCCTGCAACATCCTCACAATTGTTGCTATGCTTTCTTTAGCCCACTGTGTCAATCCATCTTGTTGAGGGTCTTCCCCTCCTTTGCTGACCCTCCACTTTACCAAGCATGATATTCTTCTCCAGGGACTGATCCCTCCTGATAACTTGTCCAAAGTATGTGAGACGTAGGCTCACCATCCTTGCTTCTAAGAAGCATTCTGGTTGTACTTCTTGCAAGATAGACTTATGCCTTCTCTTGGCAGTCCACGGCATATTCAATATTCTTCACCAACATTATAATTCAAAGGTGTCAATTCTTTGGACTTCCTTACTCATTGTCCAGCTTTCACATGCATATAAGGCGATTGAAAACACCATGGCTTGGGTCAGGCGCACCTTAGTCTTCAAGGTGACATCTTTGCTTTTCAACACTTTAAGAGGTCTTTTGCAGCCAATTTGCCCAATGCAATGTGTCTTTTGATTTCCTGATTGCTGCTTCCATGGGTGTTGATTGTGGATCCAAGTAAAATGAAATCCTTGACAACTTCAACCTTTTTTCTGTTCATCATGATGTTGCTTATTGGTCCAGTTGTGAGGATTTTTGTTTTATGTTCAGGTGTAATCCATACTGAAGGCTGTGGTCTTTGATCTTCATCAGTAAGTGCTTCAAATCCTCTTCACTTTCAGCAAGCAAAGTTGTGTCATCCGCATAACACAGGTTGTTAATGAGTCTTCCTCCAATATCCTGATGCCAATTCTTCTTTATATAGTCCAGCTTCTCAGATTATTTGCTCGGTATACAGATTGAATACGTATGATAAAAGGATACAACGCTGACGCACACCTTGCCTGACTTTAAACCATGCAGTATCCCCTTGTTCTGTTCAAACGACTGCCTCTTGATCCACGTACAGATTCCTCATGAGCATAATTAAGTGGTCCGGAATTCCCATTCTCCTCAATGTTATTCATAATTTGTTAGGATCCACACAGTCGAATGCCTCAGCATAGTCAATATAACACAGGTAAACATCTTTCTGGTATTCTCTGCTTTCAGTCATGATCCATCTGACATCAGCAATGATATCTCTTGTTCCACGTCCTCTTCTAAATCCAGCTTGAATTTCTGGCAGTTTCCTGTCGATATACTGCTGCAGTCGCTTTGGAATGATCTTCAGCAAAATTTGCTTACGTGTGATATTAATGATATTGTTCGATAATTTCCACATTTGGTTGGATCACCTTTCTTGAGAATAGGCGTAAATATGGATCTCTTCCAGTTGGTTGGCCAGGTAGCTGTCTTTCAAATTTCTTGGCTTAGACGAGTGAGCACTTCCAGTGCTGCATCCGTTTGTTGAAACATCTCAATTTGTATTCCCTCAATTCCCGGAGCCTTGTTTGTTGCCAATGCCTTCAGTGCAGCTTGGACTTCTTCCTTCAGTACCATCGGTTCCTCACCATATGTTACCTCCTGAAATGGTTGAACGCTGACCAATTCTTTTAGGTATAGTGACTTTGTGTATTACTTCCACCTTCTTTTGATGCTTCTTGTGTCGTTTAATATTTTCCCTGTTTAATATTTTCCTTCAGTATTGCCTGAATTTTTTCTTCAGCTTTCACTTTGAGAAATGCTAAGCGTGTTCTTCCCTTTTGGTTTTCTATCTCCAGGTATTTGCATATGTCATCATAACACTTTAGTCTTCTCCAGACACCCTTTGAAATCTTCTGTTCAGCTCTTTTACTTCATCATTTTTTCCTTTTGCTTTAGCTATTAGACGTTCAAGAGCAACTTTCAGAGTCTCTTCTGACATCAGTTTAGGTCTTTTCTTTCTCTCCTGTCTTTTTAATGATCTCTTGCTTTCTTCATGTATGATGTCCTTGATGTCATTCTACAACTCGTCTGGTCTTGGATTATTAGTGTTCAAATCTATTCTTGAGATGATCTCTAAATTCAAGTGATATATACTCAAGGTCATACTTTGGCTTTCATGGACTTGTTCTAATTTTCTTCAGTTTCAACTTGAACTTGCATATGAGTAATTGATGGTCTGTTCCACAGTCGGCCCCTGGCCTTGTTCTCACTCACTGATGATATTGAGCTTTTCCATCATCTCTTTCCATAGATGTAGTCGATTTGATTCCTGTGTCTTCCATCTGGTGAGGTCCATGTGTATGGTCACCGTTTATGTTGGTGAAAAAACGTATTTGCAATGAAGAAGTCATTGGTCTTGCAAAATTCTATCATGCGATCTCCGGCATCGTTTCTGTCTCCAAGGCCCTATTTTCCAACTACCGATCCTTCCTCTTTGTTTCCAACGTTTGCATTCCAATCACCAGTAATTATCACTGCATCCTGATTGCATGTTCGATCAATTTCAGACTGCAGAAGTTGGTAAAAATATTTAATTTCTTCATTTTTGGCCTTAGTGGTTGGTGGGTAAATTTGAGTAATAGTCGTATTAACTGGTCTTCCTTGTAGGTGTATGGATATTATCCTATCACTGACAGTGTTGTACTTCAGGATAGATCTTAAAATGTTCGTTTTTGATGATGAGTGCGACGCCATTCCTCTTCTAGTTGTCATTCCCGGCATAGTAGACCATATGATTGTCTGACTCAAAATTACCAATATCAGTCCATTTCAGCTCACTAATGCCTAGGATATTGATGTTTACACATTTCATTTCTGACGATTTCCAATTTGCCTACATTCATACTTCGTACAGTCCACGTTCTCATTATTAACGGATGTTTGCAGCTGTTTCTTCTCATTTTGAGTCATGCCACATCAGAAATGAAGGTTCTGAAAGCTTGACTCCATTCACGTCATTAAGGTCGACTCTACTTTGAGGAGGCAGCTCTTCCCCAGTTATCATCTGAATGCCTGCCTTCCAACCTGACGGGGTCATCTTCCGGCATTATATCAGACAGTGTTTCACTGCTATTCATGACGCTTTCATTGGCTAATTCCTTTCAGAGGTAGATCGCTAGGTCCTTCTTCCTAGTCTGTCTTAGTCTGGAAGCTCAGCTGAAACCTGTCCGCCAAGGGTGAGACTGCTGGTATTTGAATACTGGTGGCATAGCTTCCAGCATCACAGCAACACACAAGCCCCCACGGTATGACAAACTGACAGATGCATGGGGGAAACCTACCACCTAGTTAATTCCTATTTGTCCTGTTTGAACTTTGTCCTTTTTTTCATCTTTTTCTGCCTCCACTTGAATTATTTTTATGATTGTTATTTAATTGGAACTATTTACTTATTAGTTGAACTTATTTTTAATATTTTTGGTAGTTTCTCTAAAGTTTATAAAGTACACCTTTAGAATAATATTATGTGAGGTAGACTACCTTCACATAATATTACTCTATTTCATGTATGATGTAAGAACCTTACAACAGCATACTTCAATTTCCTCCCTCCCAAATGCTGTGCTATTGTTCTCAAATAATTTACTTCCATTATGTTATAAATCTCACAATAAATTGACACTTTTTTTTGTCCTGAACAGTCAGTCATCTTTTAAAGTAGTTATAAATAAAAAATATTTTTTATGTTTACCTTTATTTTTATCACTTCTGATGATCTTCATTTTGTTTACGTAGATCCAAATTTCCATCTGGTGTCATATTCCTTCTGAAAAGACTTCTTTGAACATTGTTTACAGCACAGGTCTGCTGGTGAGGAAGTCATTCAACTTTCGTATGTTTGAAAACACCTTTATTTTGTCTCATTCAGTTTCAAAAAATAATTTTGTTGGTTATAGAATTCTGGGTTGGCAGTTTTTTTCTTTCATCACTTTAAAGATGTTACTTCATGATCTTCTGTTTTGAATAGTCTCTGACCAGAAATCTTACCACTGTATTTAATGTTTCTTTTTTCTCTGTCTGCCTTTAAGACTCTCTTATCTTTGGTTTTCAGCAGTTTGACTACAGAATGTGTAGGTGTGCTTATTTATTATTATTCGTATTTATCCTGCTTGGGGTTCTCTGAACTTCTTGGATTTATGGATTGTTGGTTTTCATTAAAGGAGTCCTAGTGGTGCCATGGTTAAAGCACTCAGTTGCTAACTGAAAGGTTAGTGGTTCAAACCCAGCAGTTGCTCTGCAGGAGAAAGATGTGGCAGTCTGTTTCCACAAAGATTACAGCCTTGGAAACCCTATAGGGCAGCTCTACCCTGTACTACAGGGTCACTATGAGTTGGAATCAACTCGATGGCAATGGGTTTTACAGGATTCTTGTTCATTTTGTAAAATTTCCAGCCATTTCCCTTCAGATATTTCTTTTTCCCTTCTCTCTCTTCTGTTTTGGACTCCACTTATCCAAACAGTAGACCATTTTACATTGTCCCACATCTCCTAGATGCCTGTTCTGCTTCCCACACCCCCACTCCCTTTACTCTTTGTGTTTCAGTTTGGATAATTTCTATTAATCTTTTTTCAAGTTCACTGATTCTTTCCTCGGTTGTGTTGTCTGCTTATCAACTCACTGAAGGATTTCTTCACCTCTGGTATCATGGTTCTTATTTCCAGTGTTTTCATTTTACTTTTGATAGTTTCCATCTCTTTGTTGAAATTCCCCATCTATTCAGGCATATTGTCCACCTTTACCACAAACCCTGTAACATATTAATCATTGTTATTTCACGATCCCAATCTGACAGTTTTCACATCTAGTTATCCCTGAGTCTGGCTTGTTGATTGCTTTATCACTGGACAACGTTTTTCTTTCTCCCCCTCCCTTGTCTTTTTTGATGTGTCTTGTAATTTTTTTTTTTTTTTAATCAAATGCTGAACACTGTTAGAACAACAGTACAGATTGTGGTAAATATTATTTACACTTTGAAATGGGCTCGCCTCTTCTGTCAGTATGTTGTTTGGTAATTGAGCCTATAAAGTCGGCCGTTGAACTGAATTTGGGTTTTGTTGTTGCTATTTTTATCTTATGTGCACCAGACATCACTCCTCCAGCAATGGGCTGCTGTTACCTTGTGCTCAGAGTGGGACCTGGGCTGCTGATGCATTTTCTCAGTGCTCCTAGTCCACCCCCTGCTGGAAGCACTCACTGCATGCCTACTCCACAGTGCACCCCACCCCCTCATGCTCTCCATCTAACTCCAGTGATAGACTGCTAAACTCTGGTGGGGGTAGGAGAGTTCTCTATTTTCCTAGTCCAGCCTCAGCCTTAGGTAGGCTCTGTGCACCTGGGCTTTGAAGGCAGGGGTTTCTTAGTGCTCTTGCCCCTCCTTCCCATGGAGCCAAACTCTAACCTGTATCCCTGGTAGGTCTTGAGTGGAAGAGTAGCCGACTTCTGCTTTGTGTCAGTGCAGGATCCTGGGCAAAAGAGGGTTTCCTGTCCCTCCTCCAGGGGAGTAAGATTTTTGCTTCTACTCCCCCTCCTCCCTCAAAAGCAATGAATCTTTGCCTGCTGTTCTGAATGCAGAAGCATCTCCTGCCCTATTCCATAGCAGCTTATGGCTTTTGCTTTGTATGAGCAAAGGATCTGGGGAAATGTGTAAGGGTTTCCTGTCTGTCTCCCACTGATAGCCAATCACCACTTGCAGTCTGCACCCTGAGTGTGGCTTCCTCCCAGTTGTTCTCAAGCACACCCAGTGGAGATCCATGAAAAAGAGCTTGCAACTGAGTACAATTTCCAAGAACAAGGACTCTGTTCTATTTGTTTTCTCCTGAGTTTTGAGTTAAATATTTCCAAGGAAACCTAGGCCATTAAAGTTCTAGAATACTGTGGATCTACTGTTTTATTTGCATGCCCACTTGTTTACAAATACAAAAAGAGTACAGTGGTAAGTCCCAGGGAATACTGTTCATTCAATAAACTACACGTTTCTCTGTTCCAGTCATTATTCAGGTTGACTTCTTCTATTTCCATTTCAGTGCCACCCGAGCAAACCCCTGTAGTCCAGGAGTGCTACCACGGCAATGGACAGAGTTATCGAGGTACCTCCTCCATCACTATCACAGGGAAGAAGTGTCAGCCTTGGTTATCTATGACACCACACCTGCATCAGAAGACCCCGGAAAAGTACCCAGATGCGTATGTCTTTGATTTTAGCCATAATAGAAGCAACAGCCAACTTAAATTTGTTAGAAGAGCTGGGCCTTAAACTAACTTATTAGCACCAAACTTCTATTGGCTCCAGAATGTGAGACAAAATGTCTCAAGCACCTTGCTTTTGAGCAAAGTGTCTGAGAGATAAGAACTTAGAGGCTGGCTATGTTTCCTGAGTAGTTTTGCAGAGGGGGGCAGGATAGGTGAGGTGGTGGTGAGGAAAAAAGTTCCTAAAATCTTAGAAACAGTACCATTCCTTAACACCAGCTAAACATCATTACTGCCTTCCAACAATGGAATTTTATCATTCCACCCTCCAGCCACTGGAGTGAAGTTTGTGTTTGCCATTTCTGTTCATGGGTCCTGTGTGTGATCTGAACTATAGAGACACACTGGGTCCTGAGCTCTGGTAATCTGAAGGAATAGCCTTACCAGGATAGGAAGAGCCAAAGCAGGAAAGAAGGAAGGCAGATGAGAGTCAGGAAGTGTACAGACGCTGATAGGTAAGATGGGCAGGTGGAAGGACAAAAGACCAAGTCTGACCAGACCAGCCTTTCTGCCATAAGTAACTATAATACATACGGGAAAATGCTTTCAGAAGGTGGACTACAGGAAGCACAGGACTGAGACCTTCTAGAGAGGGAAACAAATAAGGTCAACCCCATAATTTCTCTGACTTTCTTTCTGGAGACACTTTCTAGATGCAATGCAAAGAGACAGAGTTAGTGGAGATCACAGCAGTCTTGCTGAGCTGAGGAGACAGAGACTGGAATCTAGGATTACTGAAGCAGCTGGGATTTGCTAGGCAGGGTAATAATGAGAAAGGATCTGTGCAGAGAAAGAGCTCATAAATCTGCACAGAAGTTCCCTTTAAGATTTTGGGTGAAATAAAGCTGCACGTGCACAGGTAGAGATTCCACAAAGTTGGACAAAGAATAACTACTGGGAAAAGAGAAAAATCTTCTCAATCCATGTATGTGACAAATGGCTGATATCCAGAATAATTAAACACCCCTGCCACTTAGTTATAAGAGGACAGACAACCTGATAAAAATGGGCAAAAGAATTGAATAGCATTTCAGAAGGGAAGATACACAAATGGCCAATAAAGCCCATGAAAAATGCTTTTAACATCCTTAGCCATCAAGGAAATAAGAATGAGACAAAGAGAAAAATAAGAATGAGACAATGAGACGCCATCACACACCCACTGGAAATGGCTACTATTAAAAAGACAGACAACAGTAAGCAGTATCAAGCATATGGAGCAACTGGAACTCTCATACACTGCTGGTGAGAGTATAAGATGGTACGACCACTTTGGAAATGAGTCTGGTGGTTTCTTACGAAATTAAACAAATATTTACTGTATAAACTTGCAGCTCTACCTCCTGAATATTCACTCAATGGAAATGAAAACCTAAGTCCACAAAAAAGATCTACAAGCATATTCACAGCATCTTTATTCATAATAGCCCCAAGCTAGAAACAACTTCAATGTCCATCAATAAGAAATGGATAACCAATTTGTGGTATATTCATACAATGGAATACTACTCAGCAACAAGGGAACAAGCTACCAATACTCCCAAATACAACGGATGATGCTCAAAAACATTAAGTGAAAAAAAGCCAGATATAAAAGAGTATATGCTGCATGGATTCACTTATGTGGGGTTCTAGAAGAGGCAAAACTTATTTATGGTGAATGGAATCAATAGTATGATTAGGCAGTAACACAAGGGAACTTTCTGGGGTGATGGAAATGTTCTATATCATGATAGGAATGTGGGTTACACAGGTTATCTTCTTCATCAAAATTCATCAAACTATACACTTAAGATCTGCTGTACATTTCATCATATGTAAAGTATACTTAAAGTATATTTCAAACAATAAGCCTTTTAACATGTCCAGTTGCTTGGAAATCCACTGACTGGCTCCCTCAAACTGTGGGCCTGGCCTGAGACTATGTCACTTACCTACAGTAGCTATACAGTGATGGATTCCCATAATACACAATATGTTTCAAGTTTTCCCAGTCAGCAACAGGTCATGAATCCAAATTTTAAAGGGAATTCCAAGGCTTAGAATTCTGAGAGGTTGAGGCAATGGTTTTAGGAGTCCCCAGAGTGAACAAAATTGCCCAATGCTTTCTCAGGCCTCTCACAGGCCCTGCTATGTCTCTTATTATTTTCTGACTCCTCCATAAACACTCAGATCCCCTAGTCCACCCAGACTTCTCCCATTACCCCTTGGGTCTCACTATTCTTTAATCACCAGTCCCTCAGCCCCTTAGGCTGCAGAGTGTGGTAAAAAGAACAGAGGAGATTCAGTCATGTTCATTTTCCCATAATGCACCTGAAACGAGGTCCAGCCTGGTAGCTCATTTGCCAGGTTAGCTTTCATAATTCTTTTAAGCCCTAAACCCACTTGATCTACCTGATATTTACAGTAATATCACTTACATCCACCACCCATCTGTCAGTTTGTCGTACTGTGGTGGCTTGCCTGTTACTGTGATACTGGAAACCATGTCACTGGTATTTCACATACCAGCAGGGTCACCCATGTTGGATGGGTTTCAGGGGAGATTCCAGACTAAGATAGACTAGGAAGAAGGACCTGGCAATCTACTTCTAAAAAAAAATTGGCCAGTGAAAACCTTATGAAGAGCAGTGGAACACTGTGTGATATACTGCCCCTGATATGAGCCCCTCAGATTGGAAGGTACTCAAAATACAACTGGGGAAGAGCTGCCTCCTCAAAGTAAGAATAGACCTTAATGATGTGGATGGAATCAAGTTTTTGGGACCTTCATTTACTGATATGGCACGACTCAAAATGAGAAGAAACAGCTACAAATATCCATTAATAATCGGAGCATGGGATGTACGAAGTATGAATCTAGGAAAATTGGAAGTCGTCTAAAATGAAATGGCATGCATAAAGTTTGATATCCTAGGCATTGATATGGATTCGTACTGGCCATTTTGAATCAGACAATCATATAGTCTACTATGCCGGGAATGACAAATTGAAGAGGAATGGCATCACATTCGTCAAAAAAAATCAAGATCTATCCTGAAGTACAATGCTGTCGGCGATATGATAGTATCCACACGCCTACAAGGAAGACCAGTTAACTGGACTATTTTTCAAATTTATGCACCACCCATTAAGGCCAAAGACGAACAAATTGAAGATTTTTACCAACTTCTGCGATCTGAAATTGATCAAACATGCAAACAAGATGCAATGATAATTACCGGTGATTGGAATGCAAAAGTTGGAAACAAAGAAGGATTGGTAATTGGAAAAATACAGCCTTGGTGATAAAAACGACCATTTGTGCTTGTGGTATTGTTACTGTACCTTTAAGGAAACATTTCAAAGTCACGTGTTAACACGTGTTATAACAAACTTCAGAGGGTGCTTGGGTATCCCTGAAGATTCTCCCACTCTCCTGACCTATACACTATTTTGGAATTTACAGTGACTTGACAATGAACTACTGCAGGAATCCAGATGCTGATGAAAGACCCTGGTGTTTTACCACTGACCCGAGTGTCCGATGGGAGTACTGTAATCTGAAGAGATGTTCAGAGACAGCAGGGAGCCACTCAAATGCCCCTGCTCTGCCCCAAGCTCCAAGTGTTGAGGCTCCTTCTGAAACAGGTAAGAGGTTTGTGGCCAGAGATCTTCTATCGCTCTGCCGTAGGGATGAAAAGAGATGGAAAATCTTACTGATGCAGAGGGTTTAGATACTGCCCTATCACTCGAGTGTTGGCTGAGGACAGGTTGTGTGAGAGGAAGACTTCCTCTCTTTGGGAGCCATTGCTGCTACTGCTGGCATAACGAAGGTGGGCAGTTTCTTTAGGACTTGACAACAAACTGGTTTTGAGGGATAAAATTTTGAGATTAAGAGGTTGATAATGACGGCACTGGCAGAACGGGTAATTCCACAAAAGCACGTCCCTGCCTCGTTTGTGGAGGAACAGAAATGATGAATTTGGTTTGGAATATTCTGACTTAGAAGGGCTAGTATGACAGTCAAATGCTGTTCTCCAACAAATAGTTGGGAAAGCGGATTCGTAGCTCAGAAGGGTTATCCAGCCTGAATATAAGAAGTTGGTTGTCATCTGAGGTCTGGGGCAAAAAATAACCAGTACTTCCTCTCTGCTTCCTGGGCCCTTGGTTTGTAACTCCAAGTACTTAGTGCCTGGTCCTGCAGTTGGGAGGGAACTGTAAAGTGCTCGGCAACATTGCAGGCTGAAAGGGCTCAGAGAGGGGCCAATTCTCTGCCTGCCCCAGAATGACAACTCAGGTAGTCCTATGACTTTCTAATCACTTCTGGATAACACAGAATCCTCCAGACAGTAATGATTAAAGATGAGAACTTGGTTTGAAGTTGAGGCCTCTCCTGCCCCACTGTGCACTTGCTGATGTTGCCACTTCTCCCCAGGCAGGAGAACCTCCCCTGGTATTCCCTGGAGCAGGGTGGGCACACCTCTGCTACCTCTTCCCTGGTGAGAATGGGTCGGCCAAGTGCCCCATCTAGGTGTCCCTTGCAGACATGACTTGTGATGACCTGGCATGGTCTCTCATATGCACGGCTAACTTATACACTCTGGTCCTGGTCACACACATTCTCACCCCTCGGCAGAGAAGCTAGCTGCCCAGCTTTTGCTCTTCAGATTTTACAAGTGGCCATCAGAACACTGGTCTGCTGGGGCCCACATGAGACACACAGCAGGTTCTCTGAGGTGACTCATGGAAGTCCCCATTCCCTAGGCTTGAGATGGGGGCCAAACTTGGGCAAAAGGAGGGCCCAAATCACATTTATATTATCCCTCTCACCTTGGAGGGTGAGCACTCACAGCACAACTCTAGCCAAAACAGCATATTTTATAAATCCTTTCAATATGCACTCACTTGCTCTACCCTTGATGACAGTGAGGTATTTAAAGTCATGGAATGGTTCAGAGCAGCATTTATGCCATGCTAATCCTCATGGGCGCTCTGTCTCGTTTATTGTAGTGTCCCAGCCAAAATTTCTACTCTAACATCCTGCTAAATTTGTGATTATTTTCAAGCTAATAATCTTTTCTAGAACTTCTTAAAATAAGTAGGGTGACTGTCAGCATTCCACAGTGTTCTGAAGGACTTGACCATTGAGTCTGCCTCCTTAGAGAAAACCAAAGTAACTGCAAATATTTATTCATCAACTTCTTGGGTCGATGTAATTGTTGTTAGGTGCCATCCAGTCGGTTCCAACTCATGGCGACCCCATGTACAACAGAACAAAACACTGCCCGGTCCTTCGTCACCCTCACAATCATTGTTATGCTTGAGCTCATTGTTGCAGCCACTGTGTCAATCCATCTCATTGAGGGTCTTCCTCTTTTTCGCTGACCCTCTACTTTACCAAACATGATGTCCTTCTCCAGGGATTAGTCCCTGGTGATAACATGTCTAAAGTATGTAAGACAAAGCCTCGCCATCCTCACTTCTAAGGAGCACTCTGGCTGTATTTCTTTCAAGACAGACTTGTTCATTTTTCCGGCAGTTCATGGTATATTTGATATTCTTCGCCAACACCATAATTCGAAGGCATTGATTCTTCTTTGGTCTTCCTTATTCACTGTCCAGTATTCACATGCCTATGAGGCGATTGAAAATACCATGCTCAGGTGCACCTTAGTCCTCAAAGTGACATCTTTGCTTTTTAACACTTTGAAGGGATCATTTGCAGCAGATTTGCCCAATGCTATACGTTGTTTGATTTCTTGACTGCTGCTTCCATGGGCGTTGAAATAATGCAGAAGCCCTCTTCGTTGTTCCTACAGATTGCATGTTCGGGAATGGCAAAGGATATAGGGGCAAGATAGCAACTACTGCTACCGGCACTCCGTGCCAGGCGTGGGCTGCCCGGGAGCCCCACAGGCACAACAATTTCACTCCGAAGACGCATCCTCAGGCAGGTCTGGAGAAGAACGTAAGTCACTTTGATTTGGGCTCTCTTTCACCTTCTACTGACTAATCTTTGCAAACGAAATTGGTCCTGTGTGACGGAAAATTGGCCAGGACTGCTGTTTGGTGGCTGGACAGAGGGAAAAAAAAGAGAGATTTCAGGGGACTCTGCCTGAAATATAACTGGCACCAGCTTGTAGAGTACAACTAACACAGCAGGTAAACCTCCATGTTTGCCATCGGTCCCTCAGCCTCTTCTTCCCCTTTGGGCCATTTCTCACCTGCTTCTATTACTGGGTACTGGGTCTGTTTCTAGTGTTTGTCCTCTAGGCTCTGGTAGTCCAAGATGCCCTCAATGACATTTTAGTTGGATTCTTCTAGACAACGTTTTGATGAGGCCATCAGGACTCCAAATAGCAGGTTTTCCCAAGGCTCACTCACTCTCTAAGATGGCTTTCTCTGGGGGATCTGTAGAGGGAAGGAAACGAAGACAGTGCCATTTTGTGGCTGGGCCCATGCAATGTACACAATCCGTGGAAATAAACATTCCTGAACCAAGAGGCAAACGGCTTTACCAGGGAGAACGTTGCTGCAGTAAAGACTGGTCAACAGCATCCTACTGCCCTTTCCTGCTGGGCACCTCTGCAATCTCCACAATTCAGACTCCAGGAAGGGAGGGACATTTTATATATCCTCTACGTCAGGACTCCTCTGGGCCCACCACTCTCTCTCGAGGGGGTGGCCTCCTAGTTTGAGCTCCTTCGGAATAAAGGGACATGACCAATGGCACAGCTGGATTCAGAGGCTTTACAAGCATCCTCAAAATAACTCTGCCAACCCTCTCCCTCAAAAAAGGAACATGACATTTCATCTTTTAAGGACAGAGGTGAAATGACTGTACCTTGGAACACCTTCTCCTCTCTCTTGGCCCCAATGTGAGCAGGATCACGTACTTCTGCCTTTTTTCCAGTACTGCCGCAACCCGGATGGAGATGCCAACGGTCCTTGGTGCTACACAATGAATCCAGAAAAGCTTTTCGACTACTGTGATGTCCCTCTGTGTGGTAGGTTGCCTTCGTTTTTGTTAAGGAACCAAAACCAAACTAAACCCATTGCCGTTGAGTCGATTCTGACTCTCAGCGACCCTGTAGGACAGAGCAGAACTGCCCCACAGGGTTTCCAAGGCTGTAATCTTTATGGAAGCCAACTGCCACAACTTTCTCCTGTGGAGTGCCTGGTGGTTTCGAACCGCCGACCTTTCCGTTAGCAGCCAAGTGTTTAACCACTGCGCCACCAGGGCTCCCTCTTTGAAAGAAAACAACTTCTCAAATAAAGGCAGAGATCATCTCCTTAATATGAATCTATAGAAAAAGAGCTTTTGAGCTGAGCACTTCTGGGGAGGAGGTGGCTGCCCAGTAAGTTCCAGAAGGGTCTTCGCCTGAGCCCTCTCTTCATTGTGGGCATCTTGAACCTGTCCTTCTCTTGGTCCCTCTTGCTAGGGAATCCTTCCTCCCTTAAATAAAGTGAATATAAAATCCTCCAAAGAGCAAGCTTAGAGGTGATCCGAGCAACTTTGGGGTGGTCCCACTGGACTCTCCAATGTTAGCTAGCGATGAATGAAAAACACATTCAGATTCAGTCACCCAGGTAGGAAAATTTTTCTTTGAACAGCTGAGAAGAAAACAGAGACACATATAATGTATACTGTAAACCTCTAAGATGTCATCCTAAGAATTCAATGAAAAGTAATGCTGGGCCTCCGATTTCCTTTAACCTAAGATGACCATTCATTAGCCACCTATTGGCTGCATACCTTAGAGACGCTTGCCTGGTTCCGTCCTCTTTGCTCTGAGACTCCTCTAAGGAGCAGGAGGCTTTAACCAGAGAAAAGGGAGATGGCATTAGTTTTTAAAAGATTGGGATAACAAATCCAAGGGTAGATCTGGAAAAAGTAAGCCACTTTGACTTGGAACCTACATTACTTTCTGCTGACCAATCTTTGCAATACAATTTGTTGTGGGTTACAGAAATTTGCGTGGTCTGATGGCGGTATCTGCCATGTAGAGGGACCTAGAGCTGGAGGAAAGGCATGTAGGCTGCAAAGCCACTTAAGACCAGCATTGGTTGATTATTTGCGGAGGCAGTCTGGTGGAATGGTTAAGAGTGTGGGAGTCATTGACAGAAACTGGAGAAACCCTGAGAGTATGGTCCCCGGACACCCTTTTAGCTCAGTAATGAAGTCACTCCTGAGGTTCACCATTCAGCCAAAGATTAGACAGCCCCATAAAAAAAAAAAAAAGAAAAAAGAGACTAATGGGGCACAACAGTCCAGGGACAAAGACTAGAAGGCAGGAGGGGACAGGAAAGCTGGTAATAGGGAACCCAAGGTTGAGAAGGGAGTGTTGACATATTGTGGGGTTAACCATTGTCATAAAACAATATGTGTACTGACTGTTTAATGAGAAACTATTTGCTCTGTAAACTTTCATCTAAAGTACAATAAAAAAAAAAAATTTAAAAAAAAGTGTGTGGGAGCCACACTACCAGGTTTGCATGTGGGCCACTCCTGAAAGGAGAAATGGGAGTGACAGAAAGCTTCTATTTGGCTGATATTATTGTAAGATGGCTTTGTGCTCTCTGGACTTAGCATGAGTTTATAGTGGATTCTTTCACTAGCGGATGCTTTTGGACGTTCTGCAAAAGTTCTCTTGGTGGCCCTCCCCCTGCCTGTAAGTCTTTTAGGGGGTTATTGCCTCTCCTTTGGCTGGTCACTCATGAGCCTCAGCTTCTGCCCTCCCCGGTGCCCCCACTGCCTTGTACTGCCAGGCTTCTCTATCCTTAACTGCTGGCAGGTTTCCCTTTGAGTCTTGAGTTCCTGCCATGGCTCCACAGCTGTGCCTGGGACTCATCTGTAACTTCCCTCTGCCACCGCAAGCTGCTTTAGCTTCCTCAAGCCTGGGATCCCCCTTTTGCAGGAAACAGACTTGAAGCTCTCCAAGTGGTCTGATTGAAACCCTTCTCTTCAAGTTCATGGTTAGCCTTGCATGCCACCATTTGGTGGTGGTGGCAAACCTGACGGGCCACTGGAAATTTTCTCTAAAGATATCCTCTTCCCTATTTGTCTTCGTTCTCCAATCTCGAAGAACTTGATTCTTTTGCATCTTCAACATGGGTGAGAAGACAAGAATTGTAGAACTGCCTATTTCCTTTGGAATCTGCATACGTCTTATTCCTCCCTTGAGCACCTTTGGGAATTCAACATCCTTTTATATTCCAACCCACTAGGATGTAAAGATTAAGAACAGGGACCTTGGTTATTTCCCTTTCCCCTCTAGTAGCTAGAGCAGTGCCTGGCACATAGTAGGCACTGAATCTTCGAATAAATATTTGCTGAATGTATAAATGAATGAAATAGTGAATCATAGCTCTCCCAGTATGTCAGGTCAGTGCTTAAAAGGGCAACTATTGGAGGTTAAGAAATTCTATGAGTTGGAATTGACTCAATGGCCATGGGTTTTTTTGGAAGTGGTTTCTTCTGGTTTTATTTGGATTATTTCAGAATGAGACATCTTCTTAAGATATGACTTTGTATCTTTAGGTTGTTTGCATTTTTTCTCTTTTTCTTTAAGGTTTTATTGTTCATTCCCTGAGAGATTTTGAATTTTATTTAAGTGAGAAATTTTCTATTATTTTTCTTAAAATTTCCAAACCTTTACATTTTTTTTCCTAATTTAAATTATGCTTTAGATGAAGGTTTACAGAAAAAATTAGTTTCTCATTAAACAATTAATACACATATTGTTCTGTGACATTTGTTGCCAACCCCATGACGTGTCAATACTCTCCCCTTCTCGACACTGGGTTCTCCATTTCCATTTGTCCAGCTTTCCTGTCCCCTCCTGCCTTCTCGTCCTTGCCCCTGGGCTGGTGTGTCCACGTAGTCTCGTATACATGGTTGAACTACTTGTATTATTGTTTTATGAGCCTGTCTAATCTTTGGCCGAACGGTGAACCTCAGGAGTGACTTCAGTACTGAGGTAAAAGGGTGTCTGGGGGCCATACTCTCAGGGTTTCTCCAGTCTCTGTCAGACCAGTAAGTCCGATTGTTACACTGTTTTTAATTTACAAGGAAGCTCACCTTTAAAATGAAAAAAGGCCATCAATTAACTTTTTAAGCTACACATGAATTTCTTTAAGCAGTCCAGAAGGATGTAAAGGCTGGCTGAGAGAAGGCACTATTTCAACTTAGGCTGGTTATCCTTGCTACGTACAATCACATGCACACACACACCACGTATGCTCACACATAAACACACACAAAGTCATATTAAAAAATATCCTTAGTGCCTTTCAATGGGGATGCCAACTATGGTTTTCAGTAAACTTTACATGGTTTAGAGGATAATGAAGACAACGGGAATGACGATACCGTGTTCTCGATATGCTACATAGAATTTGAATAGCAATTCTGCCATGCTACATAGACTTTGAATAGCAATTCTGCCAATCAGGATCATCCCAGAAAAGCTTTCATTCTAATGCCTAAGTATACCAACTTATTTTGTCACTTGCCCAACAAAATAATAGCAAAGTATTTATGTTTTCCTGAAAGTAGAGGGTTGTGCAACGTCTACTACTGCGTTTGAAATTTAGAGAAAATTTCCAAAAGATGCTTATGGTTTTACTATCTAATTTGGACTTTGAGATGCCTGCAATTCAGTGCTCTGAGACATTCGTGGATCCTGAGTGAATGGACAAGAGTTGCTACCTTTAACTCTGTCAAATGTGACTTTCCCTCACTTTGTGCCACAGTGTCCTCCTCATTTGACTGTGGAAAGCCCAAGGTGGAACCGAAGAAGTGTTCTGGAAGGATTGTAGGGGGGTGTGTGGCCAATGAGCATTCCTGGCCCTGGCAAGTCAGTCTCAGAACAAGGTAAGGCCACTTCCGGAAACAATTTATACCGGCCTTCTATGCAAGCCCCGTAAAACCCTTACCTTCACACTAAGTCCAGACATTTCAGATGTCAGTACTGCCCCTATATCCTCCCAGGGAGGAAATGAACACTATAGAAATAAAAACATTACTATTCTAGGTTCTCTACTGTGAAAATTACCAGAACTGGAATCTTTCCCTTGATCTGGGCTACTGTTATCCAAGTCTGAAGATGCAGCAATCTACACCAAATTCCAGTACTGCTGGAAACGTTTTGAAGCTGCTTTGAGGGTTCATACATATAGATATCCATTGTTTCATCACAAAATGAAAAGAAAGGGATATTTTTAGAAATGCGACACTTTTGGGGGAGGGACAAGACAAAATGATCTATACGCCATCACAGTTAAAAACCCAAAACCTAACCAGTTGCCGCTGAGTCAATCCTGAGTCCTAATGACCCTACAGGACAGTGTAGAACTGCCCCATAGGGTTTCCAAGGCTGTAATCTTTACAAGAGCAGATTGCCAGGTCTTTCTCCTGCAGAGTGGCTAGTGGGTTTGAACCGCTGACCTTTTGTTAACAGTCGAGTACTTAACCACCGCACCACCGGGGCTCCTTTTCTATCACAGATATAGACTCTTATTTTCTTTTACACTTTTGTGAACCATTGAATTCAATTCAGATGGTGACCACCCATTCACAAACACATCTCCCTCCAGTAGAGGTTAGCTCATAATCCCCATAATTTAAAGGTGACCAGTTCTGACCCTACAGAACCCAAGACAGTTTGGGTTATCGTCTCAGTGGAATACTGATAAATGAGCTCAGTTTTCCTGAGTATCTCATATAAAGCACACATACTGAACAGGCTTAACTGCTCGCTTGTTTGGCTTCCTGCCTCTCCTTGTCCTCTACTAAAGAGCCTGGCATCCTAAGCTTGTAAATGCCATCAATAAACCTGCTTACTTTATACTTCATTCTGTTGTCGAGTCAACTTTTCTTTACCTTATCACTGAGCAGCTTCTTGCCCTACACACAGAAACTTCACTTTTTACCTGTTAACCATCTGCTCTTTCCCAAACTGCACTGCGGTCTATTTTCTGACTGACTCATTGACACATCTGCTCTCAGATGCTTACGATTTACATTCCTTTTCACTACAACCACTTGTACGGAGCGACCACTTGCCTAAGCAGTCCTATAAAGTCAGTGATTTAGGGGCCATGCCCCCAAAATTACATTTTCTCAGGTAGGATCTGCGTACTCCCAGGATTCACTGCTGTTCGGGTCCCTATTTGGCTCCCTGAAGATGGATCCATCAGATCTTTCATAGATCTTGTCAAAAAGAAATCAAAGAGGCTGCAAGGGGAAGCTCCTTGGCTGATCACTTCTGTTGGGGTCCAGACCTGATAGGTCAATGCCATCTTGTTCTCCCATGAATAGGATGAGCCAGATCCTCCCCAAGCCATCTCACAGAGCGGTGCCAATGGGGCCTGCTGGAAGATCCTGCAACTGAAACACAACTCCAGGTTACAATTCTCCTGATGACGGGCTGCCAGCCTTATTTTGGCGGTGGGGATATCAACATTATTAAGATTGAGCGAACCATTCTTTCTCCTTCTGTACAATGGAGCAGAATAAGCCATCGTACTTGCACTACAATCCTGACATTTTTCTCTTCTAGATTTGGAAGGCACTTTTGTGGGGGCACTTTAATATCCCCAGAGTGGGTGCTGACCGCGGCTCACTGCTTGGAGAGGTATGTGTAGGGGACAACTGACGGGCAGACTTGTCTTAAGGAGTTCCTTCCTTTCTTCTTCCCTCCTCCTGCCCTCTGCTTTTTTTCTTTGCTCCTTTCTTCCTCCCCTCCGTTCTCTTTCTTCTTTCCTTCCTTCCGTCATGATATGCTGAGTACCCACTATAGTCGAGACACTTACAGTCTAGTCAGAGAAACGTAGTTTTACAATCTGGTGAAAAAAGTGCCATCTTCTATACAGACAACTGCCATTCAAAGTAAAAAGAGAGGAGGACAAAGAGCCGTGAGGATCCAGTGAAGGCAGAGAGAGCACCAAGCAGGAAGGCTTCGTGGAGATGGCGGGAGGTGACCTGAGCCTTGAGAGAGGCATGGTTTTTACTGAACATGAGGCATGAGGAGAAAGCTGGTCTGAATTTAGGGGGTAGCACAAAGAGCATGGTGGGTAGGTGATTTCATCTGGAGCATAGGATCAAGGGGAGTACTGGGATATAAAACAAGAAATCCATCCATTCATTCAATAGGATTTAATGAGAACCTACTCTGTGCGAGGCCCCACTGCGGGGAGGCAGCAGTGACCCAGACAAAGATGCTGCCCGCAAGGAGCTAACATGCTAGTGGGGAAAGAAGGTGGATACGCATGTAAGCAAATCAGTAAGGTCATCAAGTGAGAACGCAAACTGCAGCGACAGGATAGGGATCAGCAGGGGTGGAAAGAGCTCCACTGGGGCAGCTTGGAAGGGCCCCCCTGAGAGGAGGGCATCTGAATTGAGGCTGAATCATGAAAGGATCCAGCCCTGGAGACCAGGGATAAGGGTGTTCTGGGCAAAGGGCACAGCAAGTAAAAAGTCCCTGCAGTGGGACCCACTTGGTGGATGTGATGCTGGGAGCATACAGCCTTGACTGGTCACGACACAGGGCTTGGGTTTTATTCTAGTTCACTTTTAAATCGCTCAAGGGATGAGGAAAGGGAGTGGTAAAATCTGATTTACATTTTTTTTTACCATTTTTTATTATGGTAAAATATATATAAAATTTACCATGGTAACCATTCTCAAGTGTACGATTCAGTGACCTTCGTTACATTTGTCATGTGTAACTACCACCATCATCTATTTCCAAAACATTTCATCACCCTAAAAAAGAGCTCTGCACCCATTGAGGATTATCTCCTATTCCCCCTCCCCCGGCCCCTGGTAACCTTAGTCCACTTTTTGTCTCTATGGATTTACCTATTCTAGAGAGTTCACATAAGTGGGATCATACAATGTGTCCTTTTGTCTGATTTATATTTAAAATACATTTCTCTAACTCTTGTACAGAGAGGATGGGTTATAGAGGAGAGTGGAAGCAGAGAGGTCGGTTAACACGAGATCACAGACGTGCGAGTGCTTTGTAAACTGAACGACCCAATGAGGAAAGCAAGCTATTTTCATGGAGGGGGGACAAGTGAGCTCAGAAAGCAGCTAGAAGGCGACTGCCATAGTCCAGGCTGGAGGTGACGAGGGCCTGAACTAGGAAATGGCAATGGAACTAGGGAAGAGAATGAAGAAGCTGGAGGCAGAAATATAAGGACAGGGCAACTGAACGCACAGCAGATGAGAGAGGAAGGGAGGGTTTCCAGACAGTAAGCAAAGAAGACCCGGTTGAGATGCACTTGTAGGTCTGGATATGCCAGATGATGCAGTCACTATGACAGGCTGCAGTCACCATGAGGCACCCCGAAATGGGTGTCTGTCCTTGTGCTGACCTCTGTGTTGGCTTCAATCTTCCTCTGTGGGAAGACCAAAAGCAGCAGTGAGAACCTTCCTTTATGGCCAACTTCAGACGACTCACGAGTCTGTTTCTTGCCACTCAGAGGTCCCTGATGCTGGGTCTCAAGTGTCTAAAGGAGATGTGATTTTATGGCACAGGAGGGGTGCCCGTGAAGGGGGAGGGCCATATTTTCCTCCTAACTTTACCATCTGTCCTAGGTCCTCTAGCCCATCATCTTACAAGGTTGTCCTGGGTGCACACCGAGAAAGACCTCTTGAAGTGGATGTTCAAATAATAGAAGTTTCTAAGCTGTTCTTAGAGCCCACACGAGCAGATATCGCCTTGCTGAAGCTAAACAGGTACTATCTCACTTGTGGTTTTCACCCTAAGATGAGTGAAACCAATTCTTTTATGACTGAGTGGTATCAGCCACAGGACAGCCATGTGGCAGGTGGGAAGGCCCAGCTGACAGTGTAAGAGGCATGCTGGCTCTGTGGAAACAGGCCTGGATTCCAAGTCTGAAAACCTGGACTCCAGCTCAACGCTGCCTCATACCGGCAGACTTGGGAAAAATAACCAGGAGTCAGTATCCTCCTGTGTAGAAAGAGTTTCTGAAATATAAGGTACAATTTTACAGCTACAACTCTTTCACTTCGTGGTCATCAATCAGCTAATATACATTCATGATCAGAAAATTATTCAATTATTCTGGGCTGACAGGTCTCCTCTCAACATGGTAGTTTGTTTAGGGGAGTCAGATGAGATCGTACATTTCAAAGCACTTAAAAAACTGCAAATTACCATTACTATCTTCCTTGGTTTTATTTTGTCTTTTGAAATAGTGTTTTACAAAGCCTGACAAAGTGATAACTTTGCTTATGTTACTCAAAGTTAGCAATATTTTGAAACAGATCCCAATGGACGGCTAAATACACAGGTGCTATTTTGAGAACAGGCACACACATTTGGTGCAGGCAACAAAGCCCACAGAGGACATCAGCTGTGTCTGATGCGTTCCTGATGACAGTGTGACGACGGGGACTGTGAAGGAGCTGGGCCAGGCCAGCACGAGGCCAGCGCTCAGGAGCTCAGAGCGCTGCTCTGCTGTGTCTGGTCCACAAACACTCGGCCACTTTTCTGGGTCGGTAAACTGAGGGTTAGAGTATTGTTTGGCATAGTTTTGGAAGATGAGACCGCTAGGTTGGCAGGCACTCACAATACACAGAGGCCACAAAAATGGATTTGAGCATCCCAATGACCTTGAAGATGGCGAAGGACTGGGCAACGTTTTGTTTTGTTGAAAACGGGGTTGCCGTGACATGGGGCTGACTTGACACCAACCGACAATAACAACAAACTGAGGGCTGACTTCCTGCAATGTTTTGATGTTCTAGAAACGAAAAAGGGACACAAAAAAGCAGCCGATTCTCTTCATGTTCCCCAGTCTCCTTCCTCTCACCTCCATCTCCTAATAAATACAAGTTTTCCTTTCCCCGTGGCCCTCAGAGGTGGATCAAGGTGACCTGGTAGCTGGAAGAAGTAATTCCGTAAATTCTGGGTTCTGCAAGTGTTCTCTGAAAGACTCATCGATTTGGAGTTTTAGATGACCCGCCCCAGACCCCAAGAGTCTAAAGTATTTCGTGTCACATGAGGAACGCCCTTAAATTAACCTCTGTGGAGAGGATGTTAGTGAAACTTAGTTTATTTTGGCCTTCTGGAAGGTGAGCTTACTTCGACATTGGTGATGATGATTCTTTTTTTTTTAAATTGTACTTTAGATGAAGGTTTACAGAATAGTTTCTCCTTAAACAGTTAGTACACATGTTGTTTTATGACAATGGTTAACAACCCCATGACATGTCAACACTGTCC